AATGAAAATGTATCCTTGGCACTGGTCCAGTAGGTATAGTGATAGCCTGGTTTAGGGACACTATTATAGGTAATGTACTGACTGCAATTTAATTCTAATTCATACAGCACTCAAGCTGAAGTTAATTCAGGAAACTGGCTTATGATGCAAAATAAGACCAAATCCTGCCTCACTTACACACTAATGATCCCACTAATATCCTCAGGACCACTCATAAGGCAGAGGACTTTGTTCTCCTTTGCCTCTAAAGCAGTTACTATAACATGACCATCTGTTGACTTGCATTAACAGAATAGTACATGGTTTTAAAAAAAAAAAATCAAAGTACTTACCTGTGCTACGTTAGATTACACCAGTATATTGCATCATAAGATTTGATAAACGTTGTATTTTTAGATAACATTGAGACTTCCCTACATCATCTGTTTGCAAAGAAAACTAAATCCAAGTTTGAAAGCAGTGCTTGGGTTTTAAGTGTAAGCAAGCCTGACTCTTTGACACTTACCCATTGACTGTATTAAGTAATATTTGTTGGCAAATAGATACCACTAACAAAATGATTAAGAGTTGGAGACTAATTTTTCTTCAAGTTTCTATAATGAGAAGTCCCATTTTTTACATATTTGGATAAAAAGACATGGTGCAAAGAGGAAAATAACTAATAGCGATTGGCTCTATACATCTATTTCATAACTGTAATCAGAGATGCTCCAGTATTATGGGAAACATTTTGTAGCTAACCAAATATGGCCCCTACCATGGACTAGGTCTTTATCTGACAAATCTGCATAGTACCACTGATTTCAGTAGAGCTAAGCCACTTTGCACCAGCTAAGGAGCTGGCCTTATATATAATGTTAGTGGCTCTATTAATAGTTTCTAATGATCAGACCTGTTTCTCATTTAAGCATAAGGTTTAATACTTAGTGAGATGGAAACTGAATTAGGTTGGCTAGTTCATGCCCCTGCCAATGCAAAATTAGGCCCTAGAGTATAATTCCTAATGCTTTATTAAATCTAACCCTGTTTTAAACAGTGCTCTTTATTAATTCTAAGTTACATAGCAATGCTCTTTCTGGGTTAATGACCAAATTGTTACCATACATGACTCGTATAAAAACTTCTCATTAGTAACTGTACAGCCAAAACGAGGTATTAGTCGGGAATGAATCTGACTACAGTTTCAATCCATTTGATTAAAGAAAAACTAGAATACTTAGCCTTATGGAAACTAGACACTACCATTTTCCAACTGTAATAGTGTGTTAAAGTACATTTATGATACTCAAAGCTATAAACTCATTTCTTTTTCATTCAAGCTATGTGGCTCTCACTATAACCACATAAGGCTCAGTAACATCAAGATCATCATCCATGTCTGATTAAAAATAAGCAATTACTCCATGTTTTCTCGAAACTCTGTTGTGGGATTGTTATACCATGCTGGAGGCAGCCAACTCGGCTACTAAACAGCAGAGTATAAAAAAAATTATTCACACTGGACTGAACCAAAACTTAACATCTCATTTAATCAAGCTTGCATAAACTGTTGTTCAACATAAAATGCAGCAAAATTGATATTTAAATTCATTCTGAGTGATACTATAGAAAGGTATTGACAACTCTAACAAAAAAAATTTAAGAGCTAATTTTCCCATTAAACCAGAAGATCTAGTTTGGAATGGTCAGCACCTACAAGTTTAAAAGGGAGACAATTCACATTTTAAAAGTAATTTATTTAAAATAGTACTGCAATTGTACACAAACTTTCTCATTTACAAATTATACCAATTTCCAAGGACAGAGAACATAACTTGTCTGGCTAAACTATGGGGCAGATCCTCAGCTGTATAAACTGTCATAAGCCCACTGATTTCAAGTGGACTTAGGCAGCTGAGGATCTGCCACTAGGTGGTTAGTAACACATCCCTATGAAAGTAGCATAGCTTATTTTCCTAATTAATTCTTAATGCAACCAAATTTGAGTAATACCCCCTTCTTCTACCCAAAAAACATGCTGGAAAAACAGACCTTTATTTTCCCAAAAGAAGTGCACAATGGAAGACCGACTCCACCTTTAAGTTAGACTTAGCTATTACAAAAGGTAGTTTGACAGCCTACGCTTTTGAGAGACTTCTGCAATAAACTAGGTGTGATACATTGCATCACAAAGATAATTTCAGTCTTATACACAAGGAAGTCAAATCAGATTTTTAGGGTTATTTGAATGCAACTGGGGTGTTTGATGGGGAAATATTTAAGTGCTAGAGACAAAGGCAGGTTTGGACCCAGTAGCTTGGTTCACATGAAAACATGTTACTTCTCTTTGGAGGTATTGTGTGCGTGTAAATGGCATGTGTATGATGGTTGAGTGGTTCAAGAAGTATTTACAGCCAAGTTATACACTGCTGCCAACAAAAGTTTAACACTGACAGTCCCAACAGCAGCATTTATCACAGCTGCTATGCCTTAACTTGTTAGTACTAAAGCATTCCCGAAGCAGTTGTTGCCTTGTCATGTTTAGTCAGCCTCATCAAGTAAAACCTACTGATTTTACATTAACAAACACTTGTTTTAGGAGGATAGTCTTGCAAGGGGCATGGAATAAGGTGTTCCACCATTATAAGCGCTAATGCACTGCCACATGCTATAGTAAAACTAGGTGACGGCTACACATGATGTTCCATTTAGATAAGCAATGTAATGCAACAAAGCCCACTCAGCTTAATTGAGTGTGCTTTAAATTCATAGTACAGCCACTAAAAGAATCCCCGCTTCTCAATTTTAAATAAAACCAGTTCCATTTATACATAGGGTTAACAGATCTCAAGACTGGTGTTTACACAGATGTAGTAGTTCCTACATACCTACACTGCATACAACTTAACATATCTACACAAAAAAATGTATACTTCACTAAATAAGTAGGTCCACGATTGTAGATCAACAATAGAATTTTATTGCTTTATACATGTGGTGCTTTTCAAGGCACTGTGGTATTGACTAGAAAACTTGGAATGACTCGTGAAGGAACCTGGAATGACATATGGCCAATATGGAAAATCGTTCTGGAGCAGGACAGTATCATGAATTAAGTTTTTAGACCAGGGTATCAAACATTAGGAATGACAGTTCATTGTAATTCACAGGAAGATGAAAACAACTTGTTTAAGGTCAGCGCCTTCACATGCCCATCCTGATACTCTGAATAATTTGGAAGATAGCTGCAAAAGAAAAGATGAATACAAGTGATGCTTACCAAATAAGCCAAACAAATCATAGTTAATACTTGCAAGAATCAACAGACACATCAATCGCACACATTCATGAAGGTGCACAAGTTTTTTTCTTAAATGGCCAATTTTGAAAAAAACTGCCAGAGATCCCTTTAAAGGGTATATCCTTTGTATTCGTAATGGCTTAAAAGTTAAGGCTCCCCCTATTTATATGGATCTTTTCAGCAAAGGAGACTGATCAAAGAAACAACAAAATACTGTCTAATGTGAAAAGAGAAGTTTCTCTAAAAAGTTAATCATAGATATATTACTAGGAACCAACAGTAGGCACTAAAGATTGGTTACTCTGCTTTACCCTGTTAAGTACAGTGCTAAAGCAATAAAGGATACAAGTGTAAAAACCCTACTTTGAGTGATTTGTAACTTGATCCTTTAGACTCTGTTATATAATACAAATTGCATGGCTGAATGCCATACCTTGAGCAAGGTTAAGGTTGATAAGCTCGAAACAGGTGCACTACTAACAAGATATTCCCAATCACAGCGTACAGGTACTCACTAAAGTTAATATGATTAGCAGATACACATCTAACTTGCTAATGTTAGGTTGTTTTAAATATTTTTATAGCTTTCTCATTTATATAGTAAAGTCATTTCCAGATGACCACTGTGTTTGTTAAGATCAGTAACTACACAGAAAACCTGTAAGTCTATGTGTGGCTTTTTGCATCTTTCAAGATTTGTCATTTAAATTAGTTCCTCTTTAACTCTTGCCAGCGGGTGGCAGTGAGGAGTGACACCACCTGGGACACCCATCTCACCTGCACACTAATCAGTACCTCCTTTCAGTCCTGCCCCAAGAAAGGTCAGTCACCTGCTGGGCTTTCTCCGGTGATCAGAGGAAGAGCGGGCACAGCCACAGGCCTGGGAGTTGTTCCAAGAGGACTCTGGCCCCGCTGCTCACAGGCAGGGAAAGGCCTGGCCTCCCTCTCAAGTATGGAGGGGGCACAGCATGAGGTGACCCCTATGCAACGCTTACCTGAGCCACAAACCACAAAGATGAACAGCGCCAACAACCAGGGCCCCACGGATGCCTTCTCCTCGGGGGCGTTTCTCTGCAGGGAGAGCAGCAGCATCAGGGCCAACTCCCCTCCAACCAAGCCAACCCCCCCTGGCTCTGAGGGCGCGCACTGACCCACATGCTCCGTCCCCACAGCTCCCCATGCCCTGCCAGGTTCCCACCAGATCCCAGAGGGAATAAAGCAGTTCACCTACAGGGTCCTCCTACCCGCTCCCCCGGCCCCGCTCTGGGGGCACTCTCCGCCCCCGCCTGCCAGAGCACGGCTAGGGGCCCCCGCCCGTACCGAGGTCTTGGCGACGTTGCCCCGCTGGGTGATGTTCTTGCTGTGCTTCTCGTTCGCCATCCGGATCCGCTGCTTCGCCACCATCTTCCCCCCGCGCCGCCGGGGGCCCGGGCTACTCCTCCCCGCTGCTCTGTGGACGTGAGAGAAGCGACCGCCCCGGCCTCGCCACTCAACCGCCGAGTCTGTGCCGGACTGGGGGGGTCTCAGGCACTCAACGCCGCCCGCTTCTCCCAGACCGCTGCCAGCGTAAGCACTGAGATTACGTCCCGCCCAGCGGAAACACGCAACGCGGGGAGGAAGGGGGGCGGCGGCCACCCGGAAGGGCAAAGGTCTCCGCTCTCACGGAGCGTCCAACCCGCTCGCCCTACCCCACTACTTCCGGGTCAACGGTAACGGAGGGGCTATCTGAGGCAGGAAGGCGCACTTCCTCGAAGCACATGACCACAGAAACCCACGTAGCCCAGGAGGCGGTTCCCGCTATCAGAGACCTGGGCGACGTGTGTTTTCTAGAGGCTTTGCTGGTGACCCTTGACCCGGAAAGAGAAGTTCTGCGTCCGACTCAACATGGCGCCTTCCACGCCGCTTTTGGCAGGTGGGTTCTGTGCCAATGGCTAAGGCCAGCGGCATAGGAGCAGGTGTCGCTCGGAGGAGCAGCGCCTGCTCCGCTCCCCTTGCGGGGAACTTCCCAGTCATCCTGCGCTGCTAAACCCTGTCCCGCCGCCCTGTTCCCACTCTACTGTCATCGGCACCCTCCCCAACCGGGCCATCGTCTCCCTGCCGCTTTGGCCCCGGTGTCCCGGCTCCTTCCCTCCCCCAGGCCTCACTGCGTTGGTTGCCCTCGCCCCCCCCCCATGCCCTCGTGTCCCCTGTGGCCCCGGCACGTTTCTCGAGCGCGGGCTGCGATGGCCCGTTTGCGCTTGGTGCCGTTGAGTCTCTGCCCTGTGGAGCGTCACACGCTCCATCTCCGCCTGGCGCCTCAGTACGCAGGGAGGGGGGCCGTGTCCGTACAAGCTGCCCTGCCAATGGGATCCCACCACACTCTCGCGTGGCAAGGCAGCGTCTTGGGTTCAGCGTGACACGTGTGCCGTTCGCACGTGGTGGTGCGCCTAAGCCGTTTTGCTGTTTGAGGGGCTGTGGTATTGTTAACTTGGTGCGCTACATCAGCGTGCAACATTACACAGACCTGGAGTTTCCCATGTGACTTTGTTAGATCTGGAGTTGCTTTTGATACTGTTTACCTTGAGCGGTAACTAGAATGTGGCTGTAATTATTAGTAGGAGTGTATGGAGTTCTGAAATAGCTAAATTCCTTTCGATTCATTTTGATAGGATACAGAGCATAATGCTGTAGCCAGGCCTTCAGATTTGGAGTTCCAGAGCATTCCAGTGTACTGCCCTCATTTTCATTATATATGTGAGGCTGCGTTGTGGTATCTCCAGTATTTGGATGACAGCCAGCTCTGTATCTGCATTTCATAAGACTTGATGGATAGGATTGACCCAGTGTACTTAGTGCTTAGCTGGAATCAGGATTTGGATGAGTTAGCTGAAACTGAGATTATGCTGGTGGAGTAGAGTACTCCGCTGGAGAAATTGATGATAATGATAGTTGTTCCTTCAGCTGGAGGAGCTTGATCAGTGCTTGTTAATCAGAACCTTGGGGTTCTGTGGGACTCGCTGCTGCTGATTGACCAGAAAGCTGCAATGGCTAGGACGGTGTTTCATAGTTAATTCTTAACCAGAACATTTTCACCTTTACTTTTGAATGTAGACCTGCCCAGTGATCAATTTATTTGTTACCTCAGGACTAGACCACTGTGCTATTTTCTACATCAGGCTACGCCTTAAAATTATTTAGGAACACTGGCAGGTGCAGAATATGGTACTTTGCTAGTTCAAGAATGTTTCTCAGCGGGTTCCCCACGTTAAATATTAGTATTCTAAAGAGCATGTTTAAGAGGAAAGCAGCATGGTCTGGTGATTAGAACACTGTGTAGGGGAGTCAGGAGACCTAGTTTCTATTCCCATTTCTGATACTGACTCTGTGTAACCATAGCCAAGCCACATAACTTCTCTGTGCCTCAATTTTTCTATATGTAAATGGAAATATTTCCCTAACTCATTGGGATGCAGAGAGTCTACATTTATTGTTTGTAAAGTGTTCTGAAATCATTACATAAAAGGTGACTCATGTAAGTACTGTCTTTACTGCATGTTGTGGTATGCTCAGACTCCATTCAATACAGTATCTTCTGCCTTCTCTTTCCCACCTCTCCAGGCTACCTGGAAAGAAGGGAATGCATTTTTCCTTCTGTTCCTCACCTCTGGAAGTGAGGAGTCACTTTTTGCTCCTGGCTGCTTGGATGTAAAGGGGATTTCAGCTGTTCAGATTTTTCTGCCCCCTTGTCAGCTCTGTCTCTTGCACTGTTCTCTACTGCCTGTGGTCTTTACAATGTCAAGTTGCACAGGGAGCACTCCTCGCACAGGTGCTTCACTCTTTCTGAGAGTAATGCCAAGGAAGTGGAGGGCATTCTGCGTCAAAGAATTAAAAATTCTACACGCAATATTTAAAATTCTGCAAATGTTGTCAAATAAATGTGGAGGCTCCAGCATGGCATTGGGGAGCACAGGCCACTGGTTGCACAGAGGTAGGAGATCATGCTGCGTCTCCCCGCCCTCCCCCCTGGACACTAACTCAGTGGTGAGGCTGCACCCAACCCTGATACAGTGCAAGGACCGGTCCTGCCCTAGAAACACCCCAGAGCCCTGCTCCTCCGTGCCAGGTGCGGGCAGGCAGGCTCAGCATGGCAGGATCCAAGTGTGGAGGGGCTTGGTATGGGTTGAAAGGTTTCTGTGTGGGGCAATCTGGGTATGGGAGAGGTCAGTGGGTGATCTGGGGGCGGGAGTGGGGGCAGGATCTGGATGCACAGGGGCTTGTTGGGGGTTCTGGATGCAATGGTAATGGGACTCTGTGGGGGGGGGGGGTCCAGGTGAAGGTGGTTGGGGCTCAGCAGGGGTAGTCTGGGTTTGAAAGGATAGAGCTCAATGAGGGGCTGGGGATGGGGGTGTCCAGGTGCTGGGGGACTGGGGCTCAGTGGGGTTGGGATCCAAGTGCAGCTGGTTGGGGCTCGTTCATGTGGGGTTCTGGGTGCGGGAGGGGTGGGTATGAGGGGGTTTGGATGCATGGGAGTTGGACGGATGATGGGGGAGCAGCTCCCTGTATAGTGACCCCCTCCCCCTGCAGCTGAGGAACAATGGGTGAAGGAAGTGCCGGGGGGTGGGAGTTTGCAGAGTTCCTATAGCTGGTGGAGAAATCTGGGGGTGAGTCTGACCCGGCTCCGATGCTGTGCAGGGGAAGAGGAAGTCCCATCTTCCCCAGCCCAGCGGGACTAGGAACTGAGCCTGGCACAGGGTAGGAGCCACCAGCCAAGTCTTTCCCAGTCTTGACCCCACCCCACAGTGATTTACCTCTCTGCCGGCTGCCTTGGGCACCCAAAACATACTGCTGGGAAGGGTTGCATGACCGCTTTGGTGGCTTCCCTTTGCTTCCATGTCATAAAGTCATTTTTCTGCAGGGAAATAAAGAACTCTGTGAGGGACATACATTCTGCACATGCGCAGTGGTGCAGAATTCCCCCAGAAGTAAATATCACTGATTTAGGCCACATCTACACGGGAGACCTTACAGATGCACTGCTGTACCAATGCAGCTGTATTGTTTTAAGATCTCCCATGTAGCCGCTCTATGCCCACGGGAGAGAGGTCTCCAGGTTGGCATAATTAAACCACCCCCAATGAGCTGTGGTAGCTATGTCAGTGGGAGAGCGCCTCCTGCCAACATAGGTCTGTGCACACCAGTGCTTCTGTTAATGTAACTTGTGTCACTCAGAGAGATGTTTTTTTCACACCCATTAGTGGTATAAATTTTATTGACAAACGTGCTAGTGTAGACACAATTAGATGTTAAGATATTGATATCAGGTTGTCCATTTGATATATATGACCATTATGTCATAGTAAGGGTTGTTTTTCAGTTTCCTTTAAAGATTTTTTTAAAAATATTTGTGTGAAAGTGATTTGAAAAATGAGACTATCAAATATTAATAAGATGTAAAAACTTTAATAACTATTCTTTTTTTTAAAATGCTGCATGATAGAGGAAATAAGATCATTCCATCAGATCCATCCATTGAAGAACAGAATAAAATAATTGAAAATGTGTAGAACTTTTTTTAACTCCTTCAGACACCATTGAGGAACTGCTATATTTGTGAGTGATTTTCACTGCAAGTCAGACTTACTTATTTTTAAGGCCAGAAGGAGCCAGTGTGATCATCTAGTCCAGTGGTGGGCAAACTGCGGGCTGCACGCATTTTCATTGGTAGGTTGAAGAGAGATCTATTATCAAGTTTCTGTTCCCCGTTAAAGTACTTTCAGACTGTAATCAAGTCACCCCTTAAGCATCTCTTTAATAAAGCTACATAGATTGAGCTTCTTTGAGTTTCTTAATATAAGGTACATTTTCCGGTCCTTTAATAATTTTCAGACCATTTTCTTAATTCTCTCCAATTTTTCCAACATAATTCTTGAAGTGTGGACACCAGAACTGTATTCCAATACCAATTGTCTCGGTGCCAAATACAGAGATAATGTAACCTCCCAATTCCTCCTCAATATTCCCTTATTTATACATCTAAAAATCACATCAGACCTTCTAGCCACAGCATTGCACTGGAAGCTCACATTCTTCTGATTATCCATTGTGATCAAGTGTTTTCATTAGTATGGCCTACTTTTGTTCCCAGATGTGTGGCCTTATATTTAGTCACACCAAAACATATTTTTTTGTTTGCACCCCGCTTAGCAAGTGATCCACACTACTCTGTTTCAGTGAATTGTCCTCTGTTTTTTTTATCAGTCCCACAATTTTTGTATTATCTGCAAATTTTATGAGTAATGATTTTATGTTTTCCTCCAGGTTATTGATAAAAATATTAAATAACATAGGGTTGAGAAACTATTCCTGTGGGATCCCAGTGGAAACAACCTCCTTGAACAGGAGTTTTCATTTACAGTTACATTTTGAAATCTATCAGATAGCTAATTTTTAATCCCTTTAATACATGCCATGTTGATTTTGTTAGCTTTAGTTTCCTAATCAAAATGGCAGTACCAGGTCTCATGTTTTAGAGAAATCTACTTATATTACATCAGCAGAATTAGCTTTATTAACCAAACTTGTAATTGCATAAAAAAAATCATATTAGTTTGCCAGATTTATTTTCCATAAATCCAGATTGATTGGCATTAGTTTGAATACCCTCTTTAAATTCTTTATTAATTGAGACCCATATAAACTGTTCCATTATTTTTCCTAGAATCAGATTCAGACTGACAGGCCTACAGTGACTCAAGTCATCCTGTTTACTCTCTTAAAATATGGCACAACATTAGCTTCCAGTCCTTCTGGAACATCATAAGTGTTCCAAAACTTATTAAAAATTAACATTAACAGTTCAGAGAGCTCATTGGCCAATTTTTTGAAAATTCGTGGGTGCAAGTTACCCTGATCTGACGATTTAAAGGTGTCTAACTTCAGTGGCTGTTTAACATCCTCCTTAGTTACTGTTGGAATAGAAAGTATTTCATCATCATATGAGTTAAGTACATTATCTGTCTTTTTCACAAATACTGAGCATAAATATTTATTGAACACTTCTGACTTGTCTTCATTATTATTGACAATTCTACAAAATCTATCTAGTAAAGAACTAATAACATTATGTATTAGGGTTCCTTTTGTTCCTAATATACTTCAAAAACACATTCTTGTTGTCTTTAATTTTACTGGCCATAGGTTTCTCCTTGTGTTCTTTTGCTTCCCTTATCTATTTTCTGCAATTTTTAGTTTCTAATTTAAATTCATTGCTGTCAACTTCCCCTTTAGAACAGGGTCAGATTTAACTTTTTATGTTAGAATTTGATGAGAGAATCTGACATAGACACATTATTCTAATTTTTTATTCCCAACTTTTGAGAGAGATTACCGTGTATATTTCTTTCAGACCCTTCTGTAAACCATCTGCATGTGGACCTTCCATTGAAATCAGTGTATGGAGAACTAGAAGGATTGGGCCTCTTATCAGATAACCTATAGTAAATTTTGTTTTGATACCTACTAAAAAGCAACACAAAACTTGTTATTTTTGTTCATTCTGTTGTAGCCAACTCATGTGAATATACTAAGGCAATATCTTTGCTTTTTGATTAATCTTTAACCTTTAGAATTAAAAAATTAAGTAACAATCTTATTTTCTCCTCAGAATAAATTCAATTATTATAAAAATAATCAAAATAATATACAGTAATTTTTTTAAAAAAGGAGTTGGGGTAATATTTGTCCTAGCTCTCTCGATCTCCACAAGAGGAAGATTGCTATTATTTTTATTATTTTCAACTTGGAAGTTCACAAAGATATGGGGCTTGCAGTGCAGTGCAAGGTATTTTTATGAAGACCATGATAAGCCATTTATACATGATAGCTCTGGCAATGATTTGATCTAGTAGTAATTTGCAAACTGTGCTAGACTATAATGTCTATTTTCTGAAATAATCTATACTTGAAAAGGGACAAACCATTTACAAAAGATAAATAATGTTTAAACCGATGAAAAGAACTTTTCAAGGAAATGTATTTAGAAGAGGTCTGGATGTGCTGAATATGTTTTAATTATTCTTTTTATATTTTTTTAAACTTGTTCATTGTAGACCAGTCCAAGTGTAATTTGCAAAGTCTAGACTAAAAGTTTTAATTTATAGATCTAAATTCTTTTCTAAGAAGGAGAGAAAGATCCATGTAGCATTCTCAAAAACTTCCAAAGGATCATAATGTCAGTATATCTGCTGATCTGTAGTAAATAGATCAATACATAGTTTATTCAAATTGTATATTTCTCTGGGCAGAGACCTGCCCCTTTATTTTCCTGTTATGCATTTAGTACATTCTGGGTTTGGGATGCTATAGTAGTTGGGTAATAAATATATCATCCAAACTGTGCTGCTATGTATCAGAGGGGTAGCCATGTTAGTCTGTATCCACAAAAACAACAAGGAGTCTGGTGGCACCTTAAAGACTAACAGATTTATTTGGGCATAAACTTTCATGGGTAAAAAGCCCCACTTCTTCAGATGCACTGAGTGAAAATTACAGATACAGGCTTAAATATACTGGCATGTGAAGAGAAGGGAGTTACCTTACAAGTGAAGAACCACTGCTGACAAGGCCAATTCAGTCAGGGTGGATGTGGTCCACTCCCAATAATTGAGGAGGAGGTGTCAATACCAAGAGAGGGAAAATTGCTTTTTTAGTGAGCCAGCCACTCCAGACCCTATTCAAGCCCAAATTAATGGTGTTAAGTTTGCAAATGAGTTGTAGCTCTGCAGTTTGTCTTTTAAGTTTTTTTGTTGAAGGATGGCTACTTTTAAATCTGTTATTGAATGTCCAGGGAGATTGAAGTGTTCTCCTACTGGCTTTTGTATGTTACCATTCCTGATGTCTGATTTGTGTCCATTTATTCTTTTACGTAGAGACTGTCCAGTTTGGCCAGTGTACGTGGTAGAGGAGCATTGCTGGCACATGGTGGCATATATCACATTAGTAGATGTGCAGGTGAATGAGCCCCTGATGGCGTGGCTGATGTGGTTGGGTCCTCTGATGGTGTCGCTAGAGTAGATATGGGGACAGAGTAGGCAGCGGGGTTTGTAACAGGGATTGGTTCCTGGATTAGTGTTTCTGTGGTGTGGTGTGTAGTTGCTGGTGAGTATTTGATTCAGGTTGGGGGGCTGTCTGTAAGCGAGGACTAGCCTGCCTCTCAAGGTGTGTGAGAGTGAGGGATCGTTTTCCAGGATAGGTTGTAGATCGCTGCTGATGTGCTGGAGAGGTTTTAGCTGGGGACTGTACGTGATGGCCAGTGGTGTTCTGTTGTTTTCCTTGTTGGGCATGTCCTGTAGTAGGTAACTTCTGGGTACCCATCTTGCTCTGTCAATCTGTTTCCTCACTTCCCCTGGTGGGTATTGTAGTTTTAAGAATGCCTTATAAAGCTCTTGTAGGTGTTTGTCTCTGTCTGAGGGATTAGAGGAAATGCAGTTGTATTTTAGGGCTTGGCTGTAGACAATGGATCGTGTGATGTGTCCTGGATGGAAGCTGGAGGCATGTAGGTAAGTATAGCGGTCAGTAGGTTTCCGGTATAGGGTGGTGATTATGTGACCATCACTTATTTGCACTGTAGTGTCCAGGAAGTGGATCTCTTGTGTGGACTGGTCCAGGCTGAGGTTGATGGTGGGGTGGAAATTGTTGAAATCCTGGTGGAATTCTTCAAGGACCTCCTTCCTGTGGGTCCATATGATGATGATATCAATGTAGCGCAAGTAGAGGAGGGGCTCTAGGGGACGAGAGCTGAGGAAGCGTTGTTCTGACTCAGCCATAAAAATGTTGGCATACTGTGGGGCCATGCGGGTACCCAAAGCAATGCCGCTGACTTGAAGATATAAGTTGTCCCCAAATCTGAAATGGTTGTGGGTGAGGACAAAGTCACAAAGCTCAGCCACCAGGTGTGCCGTGGCCTCATCAGGGATACTGTTCCTGATCGCTTGTAGGCCATCCTCCTGTGGAATGTTGGCGTAAAGAGCTTCTACATCCATGGTGGCCAGGATGGTGTTTTTCAGGAATCACCAATGTAGTTTCCTCAAGAAGTTGGTGGTGTCTCGAAGATGTGCTGGTAGCGTAGGGTCTGAGGAGAGAGTTCAAGTAGCCAGATAATCCTGCTGAAAGAGTACCAATGCGTGAGATGATGGGGGCATCCAGGATTTCCCGATTTATGGATCTTGGGTAGCAGAAAGAATACCCATGGTCGGGGCCCTAGGGGTGTGTCTGTGTAGATTTATTCCCATGCTATGTATGGACTGCTGTGACAATGTCAGAATTCCAGGTTTGTTGGTGAAATCACAAAACAAATGTAAAGTTGCCACACTTACCAGAAAAACCCCTACTATCTTTAATATCCTATGAAAACACATAATATTTAACTACTGCTTATGCATTTCTAATATCATGGGATATCAGACTTGACTTTAAGTGTTGTCACTTTACATTTGTTTTGTGACTTCAGTAACAAATTTGGAATGATTCTGGAAAGTCAGCTAATCTGAATTTTTTTTTTTTTTTATTATACACTACAAAGTCCTTCCTAATGGATAGTTTGGGAATGAATCTGGATGTCTGTTCTACTTTGTTGACAGGCTATAATAGCTGAAACAAGGCAGCACATTGCAGAATTCACATTCCATTTTCTACCAATATTTATTTCTTACTTGCTCTGTTTAGAGTTTAGTTTTCAAATTCAGATTTCACAGTGGACCAAACCTTGTCTCATGTCAGCCTGACTTTCTTTGCTGACACCATCTTAATATCAGTCTCAACATTGATAAGTTAGCTAGCTTCAGACCTTTTTCCAATTTAAAGTGAGTAATAGTTTATTTAACTTTTCTTTTCTAGTGCGAGGATCTGAAGGATTCTACATGGTGACTGGACCACCTAGTTTTACTGAGAATACAACACTGCAAAGGTACTGTTTTAAACATTCCATCTTTTGCAGAAAATAAAACTGTTTTTCTAAATATTTAATATACATCTAGAATTTTCATTTGGAAAAAAATCATAAAGTGAGTGCTAATGTCTGATCATGAATTAATTTTAATCTAAGTTAATAACTTAGAAAATTGGTGTATTTGAGGGCTTTACATTTGTATACGCACCAATAATATTTGTATTTGTTAGTTGACTATTGCCCCACCCGAGCATGTAAGTATAATTACACAGACTGATTTTGTTATCTCTGTTATAACATAAATACTCCCCAGTAATTTCTATAAGCAGCATGGAAACTGGTTGTAACATTGCTTTTCATCTTGTTTTATGAGATACCTCTTTTGTGTGATATATTTGACTATTCATGTGTATTTGTTATGTTTTTTTAGGGACTTCGGGAAAAACTGCAAAGTTTTTGCTTTCAGTAAGGATGGTACTCTCTTTGCATGGTGCAATGGAGAAAAGTCAGTGCCGCTTTTATTATGAATGATTTTCTTTAATTGATGTTATGAGATCTGGATATATATATATTTTAGAATGTACATAAATGCTATAAATGAAAACACTACAAAGGCACTTTTTGTACTCCAGTTGCAGTGGTAGGTTTTTGTTTTCAAATTAGCATATGAATTATTTATTATTGATTTCATACATGTATAGGGCACCCATCACCATGGAATTTGGATGCTCTTTTATCAGGGGGTGATATTGTTTCTGTTCACATTGCCCAGTAAAAAATATCCAATTCCCAGTTCTGGGACTCATCCCAGGACCTTCAGCATAATAGGGTTGCAGCATGATTTCTAGGCTAAATTCTTTAAAAACAAGAGAAGGAAATGATTGTATATGGTCTTATTATTTTGAAAATATTCTGGGTGCTCAGAATGCTTGGAACTACTTGATTGTCCACCAAATGTGGAATTTTCAGTACAATACAAGGTAGTTTAAAAAGAAGTTGGCACTCTAGGCCAGATGCTGTTAGGTACCAAAATCCCTATGTTCCTAGTGAAATCAGTGGAAAATGAGGATTTTAGGCCTCCTTATTTATCGACTACACAGATTCGGGCCCTCCTATGACAAATCATGCCTCAGAAACATTCCTTTCTGCAGTAATGGCCCATTGATACCAATTGGAAAGAGGAGATAACCAGTTTTGAGATTTTAAGATTCTTAATGCTCTGTTTACTCATTACCTGGCCAGTGGACAATACAAAATGTCTGTTAATGCTGATGAATGTTTTGTTCTCTGCTCAATTTTGTTCCTCAACATTTTGAGGTTTTTCTCCGCTGTGCTAGGACCTTTGTTTCAGTCAGCTGGAAAAGTCCCGTCACTGGAAGAGGGGCAGTTCATGTAACAGTGGGGAGCAAGGTCTTACTCCAGTCGCTGGAGTCTAGCAGTGGGTTGGATAGGGTATGAATCTATTTGTATATTGTTCTTTGGATTCCACATGATGCAGGTCACCATCAAACTTTAGTTTTCAAACGTATAATGTCAGGGCTGTTATCTCACCTTGTTATAGTTATTTTTTGATTGTGATGTACATGTTCTCTGGACTTACAAAAAAAATTAAATGCAGTATCTTACAGATCTAACTCTATTCTTCCTTGCTATTGTCTATTTGTAACTCAACTTTAACATTACAGAAACATCAGTAAGAGGTGTTTTTGTGGCAATTTTTTTAGCTGGAATGTAAATTTTTGCAGACCAAGTATGTAACATGTTTTTGACCTGAGATTTTTACTTACTAATTTACTTTTTGGTATGCTTGGATATGTGGTCTTAAAATTTGTTTTAATCAACATTTAACAAAAGGAAAAAACCCTCCTGCATTTAGTTACATTAGCCAAATGTGGAAGAAACCTAGAAGAGCCAAACCTATGTGAAATGACACTGGCTATTGACTAACCAGGCTAATCAAGCTTTGTTGAAATGACCTCTCTTGGTTCCAGAGTAAATATTGTGAATGTTGCCAGCACTGAATTACTGCACTCTTTTGATCTCCCAAAGGCAGTTTGCCTTGAATTCTCGCCAAAGAATAATGTCCTGGCTACGTGGCAGGCCTACACAAGTGAGTATTTTACCATCTGTAAAAATGCATTAGGGAACTGTGCACCAACTCAAGTCAACATGAAGACTTGCCATTACTTGATTTGCATAACTATTTGCCAAAGATGTCATGGGGGAGAAAACGTTTTACTCCATGTACAGGTGCATGGTTAAGTGCATAATAAAGCGAAGATGCCTTCTGAAGCATCAGGTATGGGCCACTGGACTAGTGATCTGATCTGCTGAGCAAATGCTATGTTTTAAAAAAATTACTGAATACTACATGGAGAATATGTGTCATCTTAGTGTATGTGCAAAGTGCCTCAGGTGCCATGTGACTAGGATTCATCACTGAATTTGGTCTGCTGGTTGGGTCATTAGCTTTCCCAGTCCGGGCCAGGTACTGACTGGGAGTAAGACGTGAGCGCTGATCAATGCCTCCCAGAATATGTGTGGACACCCTAGAATACAGTTCAAACCAGCTTATAACCATGCAAATAAGATACTTTATGGAAAGAGAAAAGGAGTACTTGTGGCACCTTAGAGACTAACAAATTTGTTAGTCTCTAAGGTGCCACAAGTACTCCTTTTCTTTTTGCGGATACAGACTAACACAGCTGCTACTCTGAAACCTGTGTTTATGGAAAGAGCTCATCATAAGCTAAAGAGAAACTGAGACTTTAACATGGGAGTTTACAGAGTGGCTGGGTGAGGTTCTAGGTGACAGAACAAATCAAAGAGTGGGACCCAACTGTGGAGAGTCACAGGAAGGCCAAGGTTAAAAGACTGTTGTGAACAGCCAGGTCAATAGGTGTATTATAGATAATGGGTGCAATGAGTCCATGGAGAGTTTACAGTTTATGGCTATGAAAGCAAAGGTGATAGATGATGGGGGTGGATGTGGTCATGTGGGAACAAATCTTAGAGGATTTGAAACGTTTACTTTCAGTTTATCCACATGGTAGATTTTCTGAGCGCTTGACTTAATTTGTAAAACGTGTATTAAAAAAACCCCAACCTTTCCTAGGGTTAGTGACTCTATTCCTGTGCCCTTGTCTCATAGTGTAGGGAGGAGAAACCAGGAACTTCAGAGTTCTAGTCAGTTTGGGCTTTGCTGTTGACTTCCTGTATTGCCTTTGGGAAGTCTACTCCTTAAACCTGACTCTACTCTGAAAATGGACTCTTTAAAAATGGCATTGTGAGGGTTCATGTTTATTGTCCCATATGATTTCCATATCAGGCATGCTTAGGGGGAAAAAAAAAACAACTAACCACCAAAGCTAGTCTGGAAAACTGAACTCTGTCACGCTGGATTCATTCTTTTTTGTGCATAAAGGTTGTGCAATCCAAATTAGTCCTTTTGTGATGGCTTGGATCACAGAAAACCCCTTGGGAACTGCCACCTGATGTGCTGAGACTACCTCTGAGCCCATTTTCCCTGACAGCTTGGGACTTCAGTGCCCTGCCTGGTTCAAGCCAGACATGCTAGCCTGCTACAAACACAAACCCAGGTCTGAACAACGTCCCCCAAAAGGTATAGGCTTAACTGAAAACAGCTTAAGAAGTGTTCCTGTCTCCACCACTCAGATGCCCAGCTCCCAATGGGGTCCAAACCCCAAATAAATCTATTTTCATAAATTGTTCACTCTCTACTGATAGAGAGAGATGCACAGCTGTTTGCCCCCCGATATTATTAATTAATCCACAGTATGTATTAAGTAAAAAGTGATTTTATTAAATACAAAAAGTAGGATTTAAGTGGTTGCAAGTAATAACAGACAGAACAAAGTGAATTACCAAGCAAAATAAAATAAAACACACAAGTCTAAGCCTAATAGTATAGGAAAATGATTACAGAAGAAATCACACCCTCAGAGATGTTCCAATTAGCTTCTTTTACAGACTGGCCGCCTTCTAGTCTGGGTCCAGCAATCATTCACATCCCTGTGGTTACTGTCCTTTGTTCCAGTTTCTTTCAGATAGCTTCTCCACCCCCAAAGGGGCTTATTTGCAGTGCCATTTACCTGAAGCAGAATTGCAAGGGATATAATTTAGAATTTTCAGGGGCTTAAATAGACTTCCTCTTGTGGGTGGAAACCCCTTCTCCTCTCCCACGGAGAATCCAGCTCCAAGATGGAATTTTGGAGTCACATGGGCAAGTCACATGTCCATGCATGACTCAGTTCCTTACAAGCCAGGCCACATTCCCAGGAAAGTTCAGATGTGGATTGGTTTCAGAGCGGTAGCCGTGTTAGTCTGTATCACCAAAAATAACGAGGAGTCCTTGTGGCACCTTAGAGACTAACAGATTTATTTGAGTATAAGCTTTCGTGGGTTAGAACCTACTTCATCAGATGCATGGAGTGAAAATACAGGAGCAGGTATAAATACATGAAAGGATGGGGGTTGCTTTACCAAGTGTGAGGTCATTCTAATGAGATTAAATCAACAAGGAGTCCGGTGGCACTGTAAAGACTAACAGATTTATTTGAGCATAAGCTTTTGTGGGTAAAAAACCTTTGTAGAGATATGGAACTTGGAATATCTAGCATAAAACTCATTCCAGTTATGTTATATTTACACTCAGAAGCATATTTCTATAGAGCATTATGTGGTGCAACGTCACACCCTTAATTACACTTTTGCAGCCAAATAGTCTTCAGATTATGCCCTAAGTGGAAGAATAGGTTCATAGGTAACAATCTGGTTACACAGGTTTAGTTGCCTGGAACCCAGTTATCAGTTCTGTTGATGCATGACAGAATGGAATGGACTCTACTTCATTTTTTCTCAGCTATATTGGCTCTGCATGGCTAACAGGAGTGAAAAGTTACTTTAGTTACTCAACTCAGTGGATGGGAGTCTGAATGCACACAGGGAGCTGATCTGATTAGTAAGTAGAGGCTATTTAGTTTGTAGAATAGTACTATATTTGAATAGTAGTGCCTTGCTACCTCCCAGAGATGAAAATTAACTTGGTTAGTGTTTGAGTTGCACTGTTAAAAGGTAAAGTGCAATTCAAGTGCAAAGTAGTATTATTAATGGTCAAATCATTTACTACTGTGGTAACAATTTTGGATATAAAAAAAATCTTCTTATTCTTTTACAATTGATGAGCTATCTTCTGTGGGGAAACCTGCTAGAGGCTATGCTGGGGGAGACTGTTAATGTTGCTTACGGCACCCTAGGAAGCTAAAGGAACCACAGAATGAAGAATGGAAAAATAGTTTAGAGACTGGAAATTAGGAGGAAGAATCAGGAACCGTTGCTGATAACGGAAAGTCATCTCTGCAATAAATACTTTTTAATGTTGCAGATGGCTAATACAATAAAAAAATTAATTCATTCAGCAAATCTAACTTGTGGTTTGCTGATAAATGGAAAGGAAGTGACATAGTCATTTGAACATCTTAGCAAATAACAAAACATAAATTTGGATACTTAACTACAAGGCACTGATCAGGAATATCACAGCATTGAAGAATGCTGGATGCTTCACTAGTGCAAGGTAGATCCAGTAAACTGGAGGAGCATAGCTCCCAGATTTAAAGAGAAAGTAGATATGTGGTTGCATAAAATAAGCAGCTGGTCCAAAGAAGGAGTAGGTGAAAGCCTTATACTGTCAGAATCTGCCAAATTTAGGACTTGATCTTGCAAGGTGCTTGCACATTCATAAGGGTGTTTAGCCCTTTGCAGGATCATGAAAGGTCATTGTTAGGGTGGAATAGGATGGTGAGTGAAGCAGACCTAAACTTACTCCTGGGGCCACCACTGCAAACCTATGTTTTTTTATTACAGCTGCTAAAGATGGCACAGCAGGCATGCCCAATCTACAACTTTATGATGTGAAAACTGGGAAATGTTTAAAGTCTTTCATCCAGAAAAAGATGCAGAATTGGTAAATAATATTTTCAAGTATTAATTATCTACAGAGAAATGAAGTTTTCAAAACCTGATCTTGAAAGTATGATTTTAATATTGTGTTGGTTCTCAAAATATTGTCTGCTACAAACTGAAAGTATCTATACTAGTATCTTTGTACACATGTGTAGTCAGTTTGTAACATAGTAAATCCACTACCATTTTGTACAACTGGGGGGAAATAGTACAGTTAGTAACTGGTTGTATGATATTTTCACCACTAACCTCATATAATCTTGTAATAGTGTTGAATCTCTTTTGAGCATTGGTCTAAACTTAAGGTATGAAATGTAGTTTTTAAATATAGAGATAGTAAATGTTGCCTATTTCAATTTTTATATTGTCTTTTTTTTTTTTTTTTAAATCTTAGGTGTCCTTGCTGGGCAGATGACGAAAGTATATCTGCTAGGATCGTAAATAATGAAGTGCACTTCTTTGAAAACAACAACTTTGGTATGCAAACATTTCTAAGATTTGGCTTCATTGCATTCTAGATATGTCTCTTTTGCCTATCTTCACCCTTTTTACATTTTTCTGATTTTTTTCATGTCGTTGGCTTTATCTGAAATATTGCTTAAATCCTCTTTTATTTTGGTACCCAGAAAAAATAAGATCTTGTGACGTCCTAGCATATTTTCAGCACATTGACATTTTTTGTTTTCTACTTCTCAACTGCCACTCTGTAATGTGAGACAGTTCCCCATTTTAGATAAAGAGGGCCATTGATCTATGCCCAGTGGAGTTCAAAGGATGTGTGTCAGTATAGAACATGATTTCTTCTGTGGGTTGTGCTCAGCTTATCTCTTTTGGGTTCCAAAGAGCCACGAGAAGATTGACACTTACGGTGATAACATTACTATGGAACCAGGATATTTTCCAGAGTAGTTCAGCATTAACCAAAGGTATTTTGGAAGTAAAGAGAACAAGCTGAGGCAGAGGGAAGCAGATGAGGAGGAAGGAAGCCAGGAGAGTTTGGAGATACAGAATGCTGACAATGGAAGAGAACAAAAGGAACGCTAGGGAAAGAGAAGACAAGAGAACAGTGAAAGTAGAACGGAGGAATTCAGAGAAAAAGAAAAAACGTAGATGACACACAAGTTGTTTGGGGGTTAATGGTGTAACACACTGCCTTATGGGAGACATGGCTTTAGGATTCGGGGGCAGTTTCTTCTGAAGCTCATGGAACTTGGAGATATAGAGACATGGAGACTCTGGCTCCATGCTTGTTGGAGAAGGAAGATTAGGGTGAAAGTCATGTGTGTCTCCCTCGTCCCCCCGCCCCCACAATTTGGTGTCTGGTTTACGGAGTAATATTACTGGTGTTCTGGGAGGAGGCTTTTCACCATTCTTCCCAGGTGGAAGAAACCTTCCATAATGCTTATCAAAGGGGAGGTGTTAAGGGGTTATCCTGAGAAAAATCTGTATTCTCATCAGGTGGGATTTCCTACATTGTGCTCGTGTTCTTTCCCATTTATGATCTGTTGTAGATAGAGATGAGACTGCTATGAGAGCAGACACCCTTTAAGCTTTTTATTTAACATGGATTATTATTAGGCTGTGTAAATCCTGCTGGGTTTACTTAGCAATGGGGTGGTTCATGAACTGAACCTTGAAGTTTGTTTGAGAGGTGTAGAAAACCTACATTAATTAAGCCCCAGCTGCCAAGAGAGAATTCCATGATACCGTGGCCACTTCTGCTGTACTGCCTATTGGCCACCCCCTAAGGAGGGTGCTAGGTGTTCCTTTCTCTTCCTTCCCCGCTCCCCACACACACAGAGGTTTTATGGTGTTGGCAGTCCACTGACCGCACAAATCAGTCAGGGTGTTCAAAGGTATGTTAGGTGCCATCTCACCCCTCCCAAAAGCTATAGTACCAGGAACAAGGCAATGACTTCCAGACTTATCTTACGCAGAAGTTCTCCATAATCCCTAGTGTGGTAGCTAAGGAACTCCCCTATCATTTGGTAGGGAAATATGAGGTGTATCTATTAAGGTGTGGGATCATTTGTCACTTCTGCCACTAAGCTCACTCTGATAGCTGCTCAAACGAGACTCTCGTCCCACTGCCTTACTGCGAAGGAACTGGCAGCGAGTGCAGATTCACTTCCAGAGAAAATTCTTATGTGTAGGGGAGTGATCAGTTCACAGCAGGCCTTTCAGAGAACGTGCTGTGGGGAGCAATCACCTGTGTCCCATCCCCAAAGATCCAAGGAGAGGAGACTGTACAGAATGGAGCAGGATGTGTGGGAGTGGCCGCGCTTCCTCTGAAGACAGCATAGTTAAGGTGGGTGGCTATGCCACTTGCTTTGATTGTGGAAAATGAAGTATGTTCATGGGGGGTTCAAAGACTTTCTTGCTGTGTGAACTTCTCCTCCAAGGTTTGTAGAACGTTTAAAACCCTAGGCTGGTTCAAGTGGGTTCAAAGTTTGAGGGAGACATTTCACACCCTATAATTGTCATACCTGTGATCATAAAGAGAAATAAATCTAGCAAAAACTTCAAGTCTGAGAGACTACATAATCAAAGGTGGTGATCATGCTGCTTTTGCCAAGTAAAGAATCTTTTTATGGTTAAGTACATCATTCCTTGTGTATTATCAGTGGGGTACACTCATAAAATGGTATAATATAAAAGTACATTAAGTAGTGTGAGTTAAGTGTTTTGTCATTAACCTGCCTGTAATTGTGATTTTGCAGATACTATTGCAAATAAACTTCATTTGCAAAAAGTTAATGATTTTGTGTTATCACCAGGACCACAGCCAAGCAAGGTACCTATAATTTTTATTCACAATTCATATATTTTGGTTTTCTTTAATTCCTTTAGAAATCATTGTATTTCTCTGCCTTTGTGCTCCTAAGAACAATGTATCACTAATTTAATATATTGGTGTTGATTTAGGTTTCTGTTTATGTTCCTGGAAGCAAAGGTGCACCCTCGTTTGTAAGACTGTATCAGTACCCTAACTTTGGTGGCTCTCAGTCTGCATTGGCCAATAAAAGTTTCTTTAAAGCTGACAAGGCGACAATGCTCTGGAATAACAAAGGTACAGCAGCTATTAAATTAATATCTCTTATATTTATATTCACTAACTTCAAGGTGTGGTTATTTTGCTTGCTTTTGTTTTTGTATTCGTCAAATGCAAAGACAAAAAACTTGTGTTAATGGAACATTAATGTTATAATTTTAAACACTAAAGTTCTCATAACTTGCCCACATTGTCCTTCATAATCTCGTCCCCATCTATATCTGCTCTCATTTTCTCCTAAACATCTTGCTCCATCAACTCCTTGCATACCTTTCTTTCCCCTGAACCCTATAATTTCTTCTTCCATTCTCATCTTTGCATGCTCTTTCATGCTGCCCTGTATATCTATGTAGGACTAGAAAATTGGTTATAGTTAAACTGCAGCCTCCAAAGGAAAATCCCACCACACCATTTCCTAATTCTTGTTGACACAGAACATACTATCTCCTGTTTTCACGTCCTTCTTTAAAAGGCATTTCATCCAGAAATCCTGCTTCTTTATCCTTCCTGTACCTGAACTGGTGTCATGTGTTCCTTAGACTTGTCAAGGTTCCTTCCCCACTCTGAACTCTAGGGTACAGATGTGGGGACCTGCATGAAAACCTCCTACGCTTATTTTTACCAGCTTAAGTTAAAACTTCCCCAAGATACAAACTATTTTAGCTTTTGCCCTTGTACTTTATCACTGCCACCACCAAACGTCTAACAGATACATAACCAGGAAAGAGCCCGTTTGGAAACGTCTTTCCCCACAAAATCCTCCCAAACCCTACACCCCCTTTCCTGGGGAAGGTTTGATAAAAATCCTCACCAATTTGCATAGGTGAACACAGACCCAAACCCTTGGATCTTAAGAACAGTGAAAAAGCAATCAGATTCTTAAAAGAATTTTAATAGAAGAAAAAGTAAAAGAATCATCTCTGTAAAATCAGGATGGTAAATACCTTACAGGGTAATTAGATTCAAACATAGAGAATCCTTCTAGGCAAAACCTTAAGTTACAAAAAGTCACAAAACCAGGAATCTACATTCCATTCAGCACAGCTTATTTTCTCAGCCGTTTAAAGAAAACAGAATCTAATGCATATCTAGCTGGATTACTTACTAAGTTCTAAGACTCCATTCCTGTTCTGTTCCGGCAAAAGCATCACACAGACAGAGAGAAAGAGGCTTTGTTTCTCCCTCCCCCCAGCTTTTGAAAGTATCTTGTCTCCTCATTGGTCATTTTGGTCATGTGCCAGCGAAATTTTCCTAGCGTCTTAACCTTTTACAGATGAAAGGGTTTTTCCTCTGGCCAGGAGGGATTTTAATGGTGTTTACAGTCTTGTCATAAATATAAAGGGAAGGGTAATCTGTTTGAGACAAGGAACATGCCTTACTTTCTTTTGTAAAATGCCACATACATTTGCATTGCTACATAAAATGTGTGGTAATCCCCATTCTACATATTCTTTATGACCTAGTTTTGTCCTACCTTTTTCCACACAACTCCCATTGAAGTCCGTTGGAATCATCTGCGAATAGCTGAGAGTAGAAGCAGGCCCATTATATTCAGTTGTATATTTAACATCATAACTAATAATCTGAAATATTCCATATATGTGTGATGTGAGCAAATTCAAGTTACTACAAGAATCTGAACATACATTTCATGACTTTTGCGTGTATACGTGGGAGCATATGTTTATTTATAATTTCCATAAATTTTATAAAGAGGGATTAAAACACTACTTTCTGTACTCTCTCATTTGTTTAGTCAAAAAATCTAGAAAACTAGCGAACAACAGAATGAAACAGCACAGACACACATTTACATAACTAATGAAACTTTATTAATACATACTTCCAGTCCATGAACACAGATACCGCCTAATAATGTGGAAAATTCATTTTATATATAATATGTATTGTGTGTGCTTTTGTGTGTAATGTATACAATTCCACTGTGTTTAGACACTTAGATTTGTGAAACTGCAAAATGTAATTACATAAAAACACATCACATTTGAGATGAACTACATAGTCCACTTTTGTGCTTTACCACTCATGAATAATGATGGTCATTTCAAAGTCATGTTGGTAAAACTTTTATACTAACCACCAATTATTACATATACATGTGAACAGAAGGCAATGTTTATATTATATACTTATATATTTGCTAATATGCTATTTGTGTGTGCGTAAGTGAAATAGATATACATACAAAAGCTATTAATGTGCAAAATTGTTTTGTTTTATTGGTAAACTGGTCTGGATGCTAGTTGACAGTTAGTCTTGGTCAAGCGGATAGCTTAATATAGTTATGTTAGTGTTATGCATATATAAAAAATCTCTTCACACCACTTAAAAAAAACTCTTACCTTTGAATAATTCAAAATGAGTGAATGGGTTTTGCTCACACTTCCTCCATCCTCTTTAAATGAAAAAAGATCATCTTTGGGTTAAAATCAAGAAAGGAACATTTTAATTGAAAAGGAGAAGATGATAGAAAGTTCTGAGCATGTGATAAAGCATCATTAAAGAAAGTGTCCGTATAATCTTAATTATAGATTTCACAACTGGCCAAACTTAAAATTCTTTCTCTGTGTATATGGTAGTTTCTGTTAGTGGAGACTAAAATGTAGAGTCTCAGGATTACTAGGTGGTTTGCATGTTTAAAAAAAAATCTTACTATGTTTTGTACCCTAATAGCTACGGCTGTGCTAGTAATAGCTAGTACAGAAGTTGATAAAACAGGAGCTTCATATTATGGAGAACAAACGCTGCACTACATTGCAACAAATGGAGAAAGTGCTGTTGTACAACTACGTAAGTGGCTTTTGAACATTTACATAGTGTTATGTCATTTGTTATTGGGAATTGTACTTAATGTATGCTAAAAATCTTAGTTTCGATGAAAACAGTGAACTACTGCTTGTCATTCAAATATGTTTCTGCACTAAACAGATATTAAGGTAGTGAATTTTGTTACCTCACACGATAAGAGTTTCTATGACCTCTCCCCTTTCTGTTTAATAATAGTGATGGACTGTTCAAAATAAAAACACTTAAAATTCCACTTCCGCTTCTTGAAACTTGAAAAACTGTTCAATTGAATCATGCTTGGTGGCATATGCTTTGCTATCCTGAAGTTCAACCAAAGCATGAAAGCATCCCACATGAGAAGGCCCCGCCTCTTTTCGAGGATATTCCATAATAAGCATAAGACTGTTAATACTGCCTTGCCCTCCACAAGGGCACACGTACAAACTAATCATATCCCCTATGTACTGTAAAAAGAAGCATTGAAAAACAAAAAGGTTTACTATTTTGGAGGAAAAATCACTAAAACTTTTGGATGAGACCGTATTGCCAGCCCCAAAAGCTCAAAAATCATGAGTCAGGCTCACCAAAAATCATGAGATTATGTAAAAATGATAGATTTGGTGTTCCCTGTATGTGTCTTCTGCTTTTTGAGCCTTTTGAGTGCACTGGGGTCACATTTTGAAGCTTTCTCCACAGCTGTGGGGGCTAGAAATTTACTTTGAGAATGAAGGCTGAAATCATCACACGTCCACTTGACTCCAGGAGCTGGGGCTTTAAGGAAAACAATTATCATGAGACTCATGACAAAATCATGAGAGTTGGCAACACTGAGAGATTTAAAACTGATCCTTATTTTTACAAAAAAAGTGTGTTTAATCCCAGTACCCTGGTTCAATACCAAAACCACTAATCTGTTTACCTAAAATTTCCTCTGTAATAGTTTTCTTCCCTTTTTTTCCTTAACTGTGGTTAGGCTTGTTTTGCACTGTTAAAGACTGTTGTGTGTCAAGAGTGTTGGGAGGCTGAAGGCCTGTCTACACTACAAACTTAAGTTGACCTATGTTAGGTCGACTTACAGCAACCACAGTAATTACTGCAGTGGTTCATGTCTACACTACCCTTCTCCTATCAGTGGTGTGCGTCCTCACGAGGAGCACTTCCGCCAACTTAAGAGAGGCAGTGTGGGGGGCTGAGAGCTCAGGCTCTCAGGTCCGTGCACAGCTCCCCGCTGTGAGCCTGGTTGCCCTCCTCCCCTGGGCTCTTTGCTGCCCCCCAGGCTCTCCGCTCCCCACCGGGAGCCCAGCTGCCCATTTCCAGCAGGGAGCTCTGCACCCAGAAGGAGCCTCCAACCTGCCCTAGGGTGACAGCAGGGTGAATCAGGCTGGTAGGTTCCCTGCTTTCTTGTCTATTTCACTGGTGCAGTTAGGGCCTGTGCTTGTGTTTCTTAATACCCTCTTTGCCAACTGATATTTATATTTCAGATGCCTTAGTGTGCCCCCATATTTCAAATATTTTTTTTTAAATGAAGCTTTGTAGTTAATAATCCTAATGTAGGTATTCTCTTTGGAGGGAAAAATGAAGTATGACTTGCTTTGTTTATAAAATTGGTTACTGCAACAACTATTTCCAGTGTGCATGGAAAAAAAAATAGCTACAGGAATCAGTGATTGAAGCTCTTTAGATATACTGGGTCAACATTTTATTTTAAGAGTCATTACTTTAAGCACTAGAAACGCAGTTTACGTTGTACAAGTTTATAGGTAAAGATGTCTATATATACCACATGTGGCCAGTGATAACCATGTGATAGTTGTAAAAATCATGTAATGAATCACATTTTTCATTAATCACTGAGCACCTCACTTGCACTGTGGCCACTAATCCATCTCCCCATAACTTAGTCTATTGTTCCAAATGCCTGAGCAGCTTCAGACAGCCCCCATTTTTTAATAAATATGCAACAAAAATGTTTTCTGTTCTTCCCTCGTGATTATCAGGGTCCAGACACCCATAGGGGAGAAGAAGGGGTCTGAATCCCAAGAATAAACAATTAAATCAACTGATTGTATATAGCAGGGATCAGCAAAATTTGGCATGCGGCCCGTTAGGGAAATCCGTTGGCAGGCTGGGACAGTTTGTTTTCCTGCAGCGTCCTCAGGTTTAGCCGATCGCAGCTCCCACTGGCCACGGTTCGCTAGTTCAGGTCAATGGGGGCCCCGGGAAGCGGTGTGGGCCAACGGATCTGCTGGCCGCCGCTTCCCACAGCCCCCGTTGGCCTGGAACGGCGAACTGCAGCCAGTGGGAGCTGCGATCAGCCGAACCTGCGGATGCTGCAGGTAAACAAACCGGCCCAGCCTGTCAGTGGATTTTCCTGACGGGCCGCGTGCCAAAGGTTGTCAGTCCCTGGTATATAGTATTAGTGTATTGTAAAAGTATCGAGTAAGGTCTTTTATGAAAGCTGGTGAGACACTGGTGATTAATATCATTGTGAAATATATGTATTAACACTATATGAGGAATTAGGGATACTCACTGATATTGTGGTTTAAAGTGTGTCTCCTCTTGCTAAGGCAGAAGAGTAACGCAGTGGCTCAGTTTTGGGTGTCCTGAACAAGATGGCACGCCCACTTACTCCATTAAAAGAATGTCACTGGTGAGAGGTTCAGGTTGAGCAATACTCATTCCTAGTCTGGTGACAAATTAAAGTCCAGTATTTCACAACTATGTAGGCATAGAAACAGGAATTTTGTACAACTATGAAAGAGGATATTTGTAGGTTTCCAGTGGGCCACTGCTGCTAGTTTTGGAAGGTTCTGAGCTATCAATACTTGAATATTGAGACAAAAAGGATTTTTCCACACAAAAAACTATTCTTACTGTAGAAGTGGTGATGCTGACCAGTGAAGGAGAGGTAACTCACAATTGGGTGGGCGGGGGGGATGTTGGTTATGCTCAGTTTTATTTAGAGATTGCACCACATAAGACATTGGTTTGCAATATTAATTTCTACCAAAATCAAAAAAAGTTACCAAAAGTTAGTTTTTCTGGAATTGTGAATGACTGGACTTCAGGAAAGCTTTGTAATCGTGTTTTTTGTTTTTGTTTTTTATCTAGACAAATGTAAATGATACGATTTCATAATCTTAATTTATATATGTTTTTTTTTCTTTAGCAAAAAATGGTCCTATTTATGATGTAGTATGGAATCCCAATTCCACAGAGTTTTGTGCTGTGTATGGTTTTATGCCTGCGAAGGCAACTGTTTTCAATCTGAAATGTGATCCTTTGTTTGATTTTGGAACTGGCCCTCGTAATGCTGCCTACTACAGCTCTCCTGGACATATCTTAGTACTAGCAGGATTTGGAAATCTCAGAGGACAGATGGAAGTATGGGATGTAAAAAACTACAAACTTATTTCCAAGCCACTGGCATCAGATTCTACATATTTTGCTTGGTGCCCTGATGGGGAACATTTTGTAACTGCTACGTGTGCTCCAAGGCTACGAGTTGGTAATGGGTACAAGATCTGGCATTATACTGGCTCTGTTCTACACCAATGTGAAGTCTCACCGAATGCAGAAATATGGCAAGTTTCCTGGCAGCCATTTTTAGATGGAACATTTCCAGCAAAAGCAGTAACTTACCAGGCAGTTCCAAGTGAACTGCCAAGTGCTGAGCTAAAGGTTGCCCAAGCTTATAGACCACCAGCTTTGAGAAACAAGCCTATAACCAGTTCCAAGCTGGTAAGTAAACTTCATCTCAATTATGTTGGCCCATCATTTCATTTGTACATGAAATTTGGTTGCAAAATACTTTATTAATTGGGAAAGTGGTTGGGAAATGATGACACCAATCTTGGGGGTGGGTGGGTTTGTTTTTGTTTTTGTATTTTAAGAAATAAACATTTGCCTTTTAATAGGCTTGTTTCACTGACTGCCCCATCTGCTCCCTGTTTGCAGGAATATGTGCTAGGAATGCTGTAATTTTATGGGGCAAATCCTCTTCCCTGCACAAAACTGCCCCTTAGACCAGCAGCACAAAGAGTTGCAAATGCTGCCTCCTCTTGCTGCTGCTGAACAACAAAGAGAGCCTGGGTGGTGGGTAAACTGTCACTCCAGTTGTGGTGTGTTCAGCTGGTTTTCATGAACCAACATGCTAGAGTCAGACATAAAACAGATTTGGCCAGGCTTGAGCCAGCGTTGAGGTAGTTGAGTGGTGGTTTGCCCTCCTTCAGTACACTTTGGGTATTTGTGACCCAATGATACTATTGGCAAGTCCACTGCAGCTTAGCTGTTTTCCTTATGTGGATCTACTCGTTTATTTAGCGTTGCTTTATTTTTTTTTTTCTGTTTTCAGAAGTAGATTTGTGTGTGAAGATACTAAGTATAGTTAAGGATTACAGCCTTGACCTGTTTTTTATTTTTATTTTATTTTAGAAGGCTTTGATTTTGAGGCTTCTATCTTCCAAGGAGGCTTGGAAGATAGAAGCCTCAGGCCACAGGCTATCAGCAGTTAGTTATTACTAGGGCCCGACTTCACAGGTGCTGCATAAGCAGAGTTAGCAAGAAAGATTCAATCTGTAACAGAATTCAGGGAACTACATTCTGCCAGCTTGTATGGAGGAAAAATCAGAGTTGTGGGTGGAAAACATTTAAACCCATTTGAGCATTTAATATGTCTGACCTGCTAAAACTAGTTTTTCAGAAAATAACAGAGTATATTCCTGGTTTGGTTTTGGGTTTTCTTAAGATGAACAGCAAGGGGGAAAAAAGCTTCCTATCTTTGCTTCTTTAAGATGTAAAAAGAAAATCAAGTTCTGTCTGTCCTGTTTTTGCTTGAAGGACTAAAGAAATGGTGGGGGAGCTTTCTTAGCCCTTACCTGGAGGGGCAGGACTGTAAAATTGTTAACAAAGTGCTTTGCTTCCAACTATCTGTCAGACATTTGAGTTAAATAGGTGTAAACAAAAAGCAAAGTTTTTTAAACAGTCTGACTAAAAATCACCTTCGCACTCAATTGTTCAGGTTTTATATTCCTAGTATTTGCTTTAGTACTTTTCCAGCCATCTATAGATGCCTCTAGGAGAGACAGGACAGACAAGTCCTAAAAGGCTAGTGTAAAAAACAAAGGAAAATCTTTTTAGGGGGTGACACTTTTTTCAGGGTGCCTTCAATCATCAAAAGAAGCAGAAAGGGCATAAACCCATTTTTTGTCCTTTGCAGGTCACCTTTTAAACTGTGGTACTTTAACACGTAGAAAAGTTTTTCTAGAGTTTTCATTCTTTTGTAGGATATTTTGAAGTATGGCACATGCATTTCAGAAATGTCAATCTTATGTGTCCCTTAGCATGAGGAGGAGCCACCTCAGAACATGAAACCACAACCAGGAAATAGTGATAAGCCATTATCAAAGATGGCACTTAAAAATCAAAGGAAGCACGAAGCAAAGAAAGCTGCTAAACAGGTACTGCTAGCGTCAGCCCTCTTAAGGATAACGTTACATTAGCTTTTGCAAATGTGTTGACTAGTCCTGCAGTAACAAACTTTGGATTGCACTAAAAGTAATATCTATTCATGGCCATGTGTGTGAAATTTCAGGGGACTGGATGGCACGTGTGATACACCTTTTAAGTCATTCACTTGAAATTGGCCCAGGTTGATAGTGACCGACAGTTGTTACCATCGGTTGGTTGTTCATTAGTCTGTGTGAAGTGAAATGAATTGGAAGCATCAGTTCTGTTCACATAAACATCACACGCTTCATCCTTCCAGTCCCTAAGATTCTGCTCAACTCTTTGCAGTCTCAGGTGAGAGGCAAAAGACTGAATGGTTTTGAAAACCGAAATATTGTCTCACCCTTTAAATGTGGTCTTCCTATAGGTCAGGGTGGAGGCATGATAGCAGGGCAGAGCAAATAAGCTTGTACTTTTGCAGCTACCTGTACTGTATCTGTTCTATGGCTAGATGGCAGATTTCAGCTTTTGTTGTTAGCTCTATAACTTCCACAATTACTAAAACCCTTCTAAAGTGTATAATGCTTTTGCTTCATAAATTAGACCTGATTTTGGTTTTTCTGGTAGTGGGGAGGATGGACCACCAGCTCTTATAAGAAATGTTTGTGGATGTATATTTGTAGTTTCATTCCTACCAATTTCATTATACTAAGCATGTTTCTTGTCTGTCTCGGTGGGAAGAAAGAAGACACAGTATATCGGAACTCTAATATTATAGCTAACATTTTCTGATAGGATCTTGGTCTCAAATAATATAATATGTAACTGAAAACTGTTTACAAACAATAGAGAGCACCAGAGGACTAGTGAAAGGGAGAAATATTCAACAGCTTTTCTAGGTTTCCATGTTATAAAACAACAGAGCTGTTGTTTAAATGGTTTACAGGAACAGTAGATGAAGTTTATTAACTTACAGGAGGCCAAAACTGATGGGAACCAGGAATCAACACCATCTCCAGCATTACAGAATGTACCACACAGCACTCTGCCTTCTGTGACATCTGGAGACCCTGAGGTAGACAAAAAAATAAAGAATTTGAAAAAGGTGAGAAATTTTTCTAATGAAGAATAGTTTCCTCTTGGAGAAAGTCCTAAAGGGCTAGTCTGATTGTGGAGATGACTAATATCAGTGAGGTGTAGGGTGTACATAGAGCATACACCGCAGGCAACTGCTCTCCTCTGCTTTCTCATAGTGTAAAGTAGCACAACAGTAGCCACTTAAAAATGAGCCTGTCAGTATAGTGTCTAAGCATGTAAAGAAAATTGAGACTTGTCCAGAACAGCAGTAGTTTTTCCATTCTCTTCTCTTCCATTCTCAAGAACTGCTGGCTCTCTTCAAAAGGGCAGATGATATAGCTGGTCAATATTTGTGAAGGAACTAAGTGAGCTTCCTAACCTTGCTTTGCAAATCCTAGTCTCATTTAGGATCTGGGAAGGCTGCTCTGATTTGAGGTTGGGGGAAGAGAGGGTTGGTGTTGTTTATAGTGCAGGACTGCCAGGAAGGTATAAAGTTTACCTTTGACGGACATGTATCTCCTGTAGATCCTATCAACTCTGTGCAGAGAGGGAGTCACTGGAGGACAAAGGAAGTCAGTCTGTCTGTCTTCTCAGTCCCAAGCCCACAAAGGAACCCAAGTGTACTGCTTGTGTAGCTCTGTCAGCTTTGGAGTTCTTTGATTTAAATCCTTTCAAACAAGGGTAGAGTCACATTTGGCCAGGGCTAGAGAAGTTTTCCTATTTCTGCACTGCACAGCAGGCCATCTTTTCTTTGGTTCATAATACAGCCATGCTGAGAAAAGATGTATGGAGAAGGGGAATATTTACAGTGGAGGAGTTCTCTTTCTGAATCTTAGATATAGCTTCCCAGTACAAGAAATTATCCTCCTTTTAAATTGTTGTTGTTACTACTTTAGGGTCAGATTTTATGGTGTTTACATTTCAAATGCATAAAATAATCTTCCAAACTCCTCCGGTACTAGATAGATGTTTCTCTACTCGGGTCTATTCATGATGAAAATAAGATAGGTTGTTAGGTTATCTTGGTTTCTGTTGATGTGAAATTCTGGTTTAGGTATATAAATGAAAAGTCGATGTATTTCTATTGCTAAGTCTTCCCATCAGAGTATCTCCTTCTCTGTTAAGATGATCAACTGGAAACCCAGAAAACTGAACATTTCTGTTCCTCTCTTGGCTCTCCCATACTTCTGTTTTCCACAGAAACTGAAAGCAATTGAGCAGCTGAAGGATCAAGCAGCTACTGGAAAACAGCTAGAGAAAAACCAGGTATTACTAACTTGCATGTGTTTTTACTCAGGATCATATTACTTTTCAATGCACTTAAAGGCATGTCTTCATGTTCAGCGCCACAGCTGTACCATGCAGCGCGTCTAGTGAAGATGCTCCATGCCGACGGCATAATAAAACCACCTCCGTGAACAGCAGAAGCTATTTGAGTGGGAGAAGCTAATCCATAGTACATTTCAAATATAATTCTGGTTAAGTACCAAAAAGAGTGTGGCTCTCTGTCTCTCTCCCATGTCAAAATTAAATGAAGTGAAAGAACTTACCTAAAAAGAGGTAAAGTTTCTCTTCTCAAATTCATCTCTAAAGAGGCAGGGCCACTAGTGCTGAGGAACTACTAGGGAGCATAGCCAATAGAACACACAGAGGAGCAAAGGAATCGGGATGTCTTCGGTCACCATTGGCAGCTATAGGTCCCTCCCCATCACAGCACTCTTATTGCCTACCATTTGTTTTCTGCAGCCATCTATGCCATTACCCACACTCCAGGGGTTACACAGCACTTGATTAGGTTAATGCTTGATGAAGAACATTAACTTATGCTGCTTTTACTATCATAAGGTACACAAATTTTGGATGGCAGCATGCTGTCTTTGGCTACTTCTCAACTCTGTTGCTCCTTCAGCTGGCCAGACCCCTTTTTTCACACACATTCCCCCCTTTAGCAGATACAAGAAGCTGCTGGTGGAGGGTGGGGAAGTATACTCAGAATCTCTCCATGCATTTCCACCGTAGCATTACCCAACCCGATTACCTCTTGAACAGGCTTTTGTATCCTTTCTCCCCAAGTGGACTAGTATGGAGCATAGAAAGCTTTATGAATATAGAGGAGAGTCTTGTGGTCAAGTGATACTTGGGACAAACTGAGTTCTAGCTCTGGCCCAAACTTCCTGACCTTGAACAACTATCTTAACCTGTGGCTCTGTTTCCTCATCTGTAAAATGAAGATAATACCTCTCAGGAACGTTGTGAGGCTAAACATTGAATTTAAAAATCATGTCTATTTGAAACCCTTTCTGTGGTATAGTCGCAAGTAACAACAGACTCTGCTAAGATTACCATAGTAGAGAGATGAGGGAAAATATTTTTCTCAATTTTTTAAATTTGTTTGCATTTCATAGCTCTTAGTGAAATTGACTATGCTCCATCTCCATTATGTAGTTTGTCAATTTCCCCTGTTGCTTTATGGGTCTTTAAAATGGTGCTAAGGAGAGGAAAAACTGGGAAAAAAAATGTGATTATAAAGCCACAAAAATTGGCAGACACACTCTGAGGCAAGTGTAGTTCTTAAACCTAGTTTTAACTCATTTTTGGGAATTCACTAGATTTCAGGTTGACAGTGACACTTTCACACTTGTAAAACACATTGAATGTATGTTTGATATAAGGAACTATAAGTGCAAAGAATTATTACTGTATTGTAAGGTGTGTGGACAACGTATGTAATGGACTGATCCAAAATAGCAATAATATGGAGTCTTCAATTTAAAAATTAGTATTTTTATACACTAGCAATTCGCATGCATAATTTGAACATTAAAACAGAATGTGGTACTATATCAGCCTCTGTGTATTTTGATTCTTTATAATGCCTGCTGCTGTTAAATTACTGCAATCTTATTTTTTGCTATTTGTTACATATTAGCAATGATGTACATTATTTATTGACTTAAACATTGCTGTTTTACTTCCTGTGTAATAAGCAAAATGTATGATCTTGTGTTATTTTTCTAGTTGGAGAAAATTCAGAAAGAGGCGGCTCTCCTAAAGGAGCTAGAAGATTTGGAACTAGGCTTGTAAAACAGTAGTGAAAAGGAATTGGATTGTTACACAAAATCAGTGCAAAATGGGGTGCATTTTAACCTGAACAGAACAAAGAATATCTTTCAACTGCAGATGGCTGAGGAAGGACAAGTTTACATATTTGCTGCACACCTACATTTGTTAACCTTTTAAAAAAAAAAAAATCCGTGCATGTGCAAAATTGTAATCAAACAATGTATATTCAGTCAGTCATTCCTGCTTCCATTCAAAACCAGAAACACATTCACTCAAAGTTCTAAAATGGTGTTGCTTAAAAATCAAAACAAGTATTTTTTTTGTTTTGTGTTTTTGGCTTTTTGGTTGATCTACCAATTTGATAGCTTTATTAAACTTAAGGTACATGTGACCCTTATGCAATAATAGGATTGCAATCAATAATAAAGAGCATTTAACATTAAAAAAATTGTTGGTTTTGTGTTACCAAGTCAGAACTTGTAAAATGTACCAACCATTTCCAAGTTACCGCAATACCATCAACTTGAAATCTACTAAATTTATAAAAATGAGTTTAAAATATTTTCACTTGCTATACCTGCTCCTGTCTTTCCCCATACCAATTTGTTGCAGTTTTGCAAACACATTTTCCTTTTTTTTTTTTTTTTTTAAATCCTTTCCCCTTTTGCTGGGTTTTTGTATGTGACCCATACAAACAAAAAGGAAAACAGATTATACGAGGAAACCACCAAAACTGACTCTACACCAGGTGCTATCAAATGCACAAAGTAAACAGAGAGAGAGAAAATTCAATGATCTCTCCGTTTATAGTAATATTAGGCCTAATTGTGCAATCTGATTCATATGGGTGACCCTTAAACCAATGTAGAGTCTCAGTGAAGTCAATGGAGCTCTGCATAGAGGTGGGAGATTGCCCATATGGATGAGACTAAAAGATCAGAGCCATGGATGTTACTTGAATAGTAGGATTTTTTTTTTAAATCGGATATAAAGTATATTTTTTTAATTGATGATATCCCATTAAATTATCACGGAAACACACTTGCAAACCTTCTAATTGATCATTGTTGTTTAGATGGTATAACATTTTCCATTCTTTAAAAAGTAATCTTTCCTTACATTTTGTTTCTATTACACAATTCACAATCACACTTTATTAATTTACATTGTGTAAATGTTTTCTCTTTGTTTTGTTACAAAACAGTCAACAGTTTTATACTGAAACAGTTTTGAAGAAAATAAGGATTTAAAGATTTTTAAATTTTTATGTTAGAAGAATAAATGCAAAATTAAATTCTTTGATTTATCTGGTGTCTCCCTCAGTTAATCTGATTTAAAAATGTATTTGTTTGTAATTTTTTTAAACATACATTTAGACATATAATTGCTTTGTAATGTTTAGTGTCAGTACATTACCACATTTGTTAAAGGAAAAACACATGAGATTGTTACCAAAAATGGAAAAGAAACAGTTTATTTTAAACTGAATTCAGCTTATTTGATTTTGTGTCTTGATTGAAAACAAATTATCTTGACTTTTCAGAATAGTGTAAAAATGAGCCATTATGGTTCAATAGAAATTCTTGTGCAAAAATCTATTACTCATTTTAGAGCAGTGGTTTTCAACCTGTGGTCTGTGGATCTGCGGAAGTCCACAGATTATGTCTAAGATATCCAAATGGGTCTGTACCTCCATTCAAAATTTGTTAGGTGTCTGCAAATGAAAAAAGGTTGAAAACCACTCTTTTAGAGGACTTCACAGTTCCTCAATGCAGCAACAATCAATGGAAATGTAATGGTTGCCCTCTAGTGGAAGAATCACATTACTGTTTAGACAAATATGGAACTTTCACTCTTGTGGCAGTGCTGAACATAAGAATTTGGAATCAAAGTGAATCATAAACATTGGAGATTAAAAAGACCTATTTAGACCATCCATTCCATCTCCTTTCCAATGTCTGATTGTTTTCTACAGTACATTTCCTGGTTTGACCAATTTGGTTATAAATGTCTGAAGTGATAGGGCTTCTACCATGTTCTCTGACAGTTCCACATCCTAATAAGTCTGTCAAGAAGTATTTCCTGTTATGTGGCTTAAATTTCTCCTTTTTAAAATTACACCTCTATTTGCTGTGCTGCATAGTTCCTCTCTCTCTCTTTGTGGTTAACACCCTTTAAAAAACAAAAATGGTTTATGTATCACACAGAGTTATTTCCTAACCAAGCTGGCCATATTTAGCTCTGTCAATCTTTTCTACTAAGTCAAAACTTCTAGCTTCTTCATCCCAAATGCATAAAACAACTCTTAACGAAAAACAAATCTTAATTCACATGAAAATCTTTGTTACAGTTAAGGGGGCTAAGAGCAATTCAAAAGGAGAGATTATTATGAACACTAAAAATGAAGGAAATACCGGTAGTTGGTGTGTGCATGCCTTAACTAGGTATTAAAGAAACCGTTCATTTGCAAGCTAGTCAGTTCCCCCCCCCCCCCAAAAAAAAAAGTTACCAGTACTGTTGGATATTATGTTTTCTCTGCCAATTTTTTTGTGGTTCTATTGAACTTTTTTTCCTATTTTTTTATAAGGTTTTCTCTTCCCTGTTGCTGTGTGAAATACCCACACAAGCAACCAGAAAAACTGGCCATGCACAAAGTGCTGTCAAATCCAGAAAACAGACTGGAAAAATAGAAGAATTGCTTATCTTTAAGTTACAGTATCCTTAAGTGCTACTTCTAATGGTAATACATTTAAAATAAACAAGGTAAGCATGTGATTTTTAACCCTTTAAGGCTGCTGCCAGAATTAAGTAACCTGACATGATTCCCATTATTTTAGTGTTTAGAGGTTTTCAGTGATGTCTGGTTTTGAATTTTGTCTAGCAATCTGAACTATCAATTGTCTTTTTGTGGGGAAAAATATCATTATGGCTGGCTGGCTGGGCTATTGAATTTAGATTAGTCGTCCTTTCTGAAGATTGCCTAACACAGATGTCCTAAGAAAAAGTGTAGTTATGGAGATGGTCCTTTCCTAGTGTAGCTGCTACAGCCCTTGAGCCCTTGGAAACTGAGAGCTGTAGTCAGAGAGCACATGAAACTAGGAGCAAGCATCTGACCTGCAGGAACCCAAATACCAGGCTTCCTGTGTCTTTTGTTGGAATAACAGAGATGAGCGACCCAGTGCTCAGGAAGTGCTGCTAACTCTCATTTTATTGCCAGTCTTGTGATATTTGGTGTTTTACTTAAAGCTCCTAGGAACAAGTGATTATGCAAGACTGTCAGCTTTTATTTAAAAAAAAAAAAGTTTCTATCCCTCATGATAGCAGAGAAAACTTGAAAAAATTGACTCAAGTGTACCTTAAAGGGTCAAAACTTGGGCTGTTAATTAATCGCAGTTAACTCACATGATTAACTCAAAAAAATTAATCATGATTAATTGCACTTGTAACAATAGAATACCAAATGAAATTTATTAAATATTTTTGGATGTTTTTCCACATTTTCAGTATTGATTTCAATTACAACACAGAATACAAAGTGCAGTGCTCACTTTATTTTTGATTACAAATATATGCACTGTAAAAATGATAGACAAAAGAAATACTAATTTTCAATTCATGTCACAAGTACTGAAGTGCAATCTCTTTATCGTGAAAGTGTAACAAATGCAGATTTTTTTTTTTTTTTGGTTGCGTAACTGCACTCAAAAACAAAACGGTGTAAAACTTTAGAGCCTACCAGTCCATGCAATTCTCCTACTTATTCTGCCTATCGCTAAGACAAACAAGTTTGTTTACATTAATGGGAGATGCTGCTTCCTGCTTCTTATTTACAATGTCACCTGAAAGTGAGAACAGGCGTTGCAAGGTATTTACATGCCAGATATACTAAACATTTGTATGCCCTTTCCATGCTTCAACCACCATTCCAGAGGCCATGGTTCCATGCTGATGCTCATTTAAAAAAAAAAAAAAAAGCGTCAATTAAATTTGTGACTGAACTCCTTGGGGGGAGAATTGTATGTCTCCTGCTCTGTTTTACCTGCATTCTGCCATATATTTCATGTTATAGTAGTCTCAGATGACAACCCAGCACAGGTTCGTTTTAAGAACACTTTCACAGCAGATTTGACAAAATGCAAAGAAGGTACCGATGGGAGATTTCTAAAAATAGCTACAGCACTCTACTCAAGGTTTATGAATCTGAATTGCCATCCAAAATCTGAGAGGGACGAGGTGTGGAGCATGCTTTTAGAAGTCTTAAAAAAGCAACACTGATGTGGACACTACAGAACCCAAACCACCAAAAAAGAAAATCAACCTTCTGCTGGTGGCATCTGACTCAGATGAGGAAAATGAACATGCATTGGTCCGCATTGCTTTGGATCGTTGTTGAGCAGAACCCATCATCAGCATGGAAGCATGCCTTCTGGAATGGTAGTTGAAGCATGAAGGGACATATGAATCTTTAGTGCATCTGGCACATAAATACCTTGCAACACCAGCTACAGCAGTGCCATGCAAAGGACTGTTCTGACTTTCAGGTGACATTGTAAACAAGAAGCAGGCAGCATTATCTCCTGCAAATTGTAACCAACTTTGTTTATCTGAGTGATTAGGTAGGACCAAGAAGTAGACTGAGTGGACTTGTAGGCTCTAAAATTTTAGATTTTTATTTTTAATGCAGGTTTTTTTGTACATAATTCTACACTGGTAAGTTCAAAAAAGATAGATTGCACCACAGTATTTCGTATTAGGTGAATTGAAAATGTTTGGGGGTTTTTTTAGTACAAATATTTGTAATAAAAATAAATATAAAGTTAGCACTGTACACTTTGTATTCTGTGTTGTAATTTAAAATAATATATTTGAAAATGTAGTAAACATCCAAAAATATTTAAAAATGGTATTAACAGCACGATAAATCGTGATTACGTTTTTTTAATCGCTTGACAGCCCTAGTCAAAACCCAAAGGCAAATAAAAATTATTTTTTTTAAAATCATGTCTTTTATGGTCCCTGACTCATGATTTTTGAATACTTGGGATTGGAAATACTGGAGAAGCCTTAATGTGTGTTTCTGTATTGAGGTAGGGCTACCTAGGGGGAAAGAGGTTCCTTCTCCTCAGGTTGTAGTAAGCAGGAAAGGTCTCCGCTTTTAAATGTATTAATTACTTTGAATCTTTTGCATCATCTGTTTGTTAATATACCTGCTCTGAGATAAGGGACATGGAACTGACCTTGAGCATTTAGGTTTTATTTGGAATGCACTGGTTGGTGAATCTGTCTGCTGGTTTAAGGTATATCTGCACTGCAAAGAAAAGCCTGTGGTACCGAGTCTCAAAGCCCGGGTCATTTGACATGGGCTTGGGCTATGGGGGTAAAAATAGCAGGTCAGACATAGAATCATAGAATATCAGGGTTGGAAGGGACCTCAGGAGGTCATCTAGTCCAACTCCCGGTTCAAAGCAGGACCAATCCCCAACTAAATCATCCTAGCCAGGGCTTTGTCAAGCCTGACCTTAAACTTCTAAGGAAGGAGATTCCACCACCTTCCTGGGTAACGCATTCCAGTGTTTCACCACCCTCCTAGTGAAAAAGTTTTTCCTAATATCCAATCTAAACCTCCCCCACTGTAATTTGAGACTATTACTCCTCGTTCTGTCATCTGCTACCACTGAGAACAGTCTAGAGCCATCCTCTTTGGACACAGTACTCCAGATGAGGCCTCACCAATGTTGAACAGAGGGGAGCAATCACGTCCCTCGATCTGCTGGCAGTGCCCCTACTTATACGTCCCAAAATGCCATTGGCCTTCTTGGCAACAAGGGCACACTGTTGACTCATATCCAGCTTCTCATCCACTGTAACCCCTAGGTCCTTTTCTGCAGAACTGCTGCCGAGCCATTCAGTCCCTAGTCTGTAGCGGTTCATGGGATTCTTCTGTCCTAAGTGCAGGACTCTGCACTTGTCCTTGTTGAACCTAATCAGATTGCTTTTGGCCCAGTCCTCTACTTTGTCTAGGTCCCTCTGTATCCTATCCCTACCCTCCAGCGTATCTACCTCTCCTCCCAATTTAGTGTTCCCTGCTTGCTGGTTTCAGAAACCCATCTCCAGCCTCAGCCTGAATGTCTACACCACTAATTTTAGCCCTGCAGTCTGAGTCAATTGACCCAGACTCTGAGACTTGGTACCATAGGTTTTTCTTTGCAGAGTAGACATACCCTTACAGACCTGGAGTATATGCAGCCCATCACTAAGGTTAATCTCTGCATTGGAAGAGCCCTCAGGCCTGTGGTGGTATCACAATTATTTTTCTAAGGCTATAGTCATTTGGAGAGTTCATTGTCAAGTTCACATTTAGGGAATGCATTCCCCACTTCACTGGTTAAAACGTCATAAGGAGGCAAGAAACATGTTGGATTTAGTACAGGGAACACTGGAAATCCTAAGTGGGGATGAAGCATTTCAAATGCGGAAAGATGAGTTGAAATGATTCAGGGGAAAAAAAGCAATAATTAGCAGAATGTGCTGAAGGCCCCAAATAACAAGGGGAAGAGGGACCCCTATGATTGGCAGAAGCACTAACTGTGCCCTCAAGTGGGGATGTGAACTGTGGAGCTGATACTCGGGGCAGGAGGTGCAATACCACTGGACTTCTTCATGTACTCATGGCCAGAAGAATCTTTATAGGATCCATGCTAGGTGTCCTCCAAAAAGGTGACGGTGGGCAAGGCTAAACACTGCCCTCTGATGCTTTTGTGGCACCAGGAGCTGTTGTACTTCCTGTCCCTGCATCACCCGGTACAGGAGATCCGTCTTGATCATGAAGTAGGGTCCTGGTGCCTGGGCTTTTCTGTCTATGGATACCCCATCTATTTCAGCCGCCTCCTTCCTGATGTTATAATATCTCAGGTCTTCTGCCTGAAATTCTCCCTCCTGGGACTAGCCTGTCCAAGTTCCAGGGGGCCTGTCTCTGCCCTCTCTGCCAGTTTGGTGGCATTGTGATTGGGACCAGCCTCGGGTCCTTCTTGCGCCGTGACAGCCTCTGTATCCGCCGCCCATGTCTGCCTGCCTATGAGGGCAGCCTTCTGGCCCTGGGTCAGGATCCAGGTTTCCAAGGCCTTAGCTGGCCCTCCTTTCCCGCTTGGTCTTCCTGACCCTCCCAGGAATGGGGAACAGATCCTGAAATATTTCAGAGAAAGTTGGGAGGGGGGTGGCATTCTGCTGTGGACAACTCATTAACTTTGGGATCCTCCCTTTCTTCCCATCCCTCTGGTGGGAGCAAGCTTCCAAATCCCGGGAAATTCCTCCATGTGAGTATGAGGTATGGGAATTTAGGGACCACTCCTGCTGTTACCCCAGTAAAGTTCCCCTGTATCTCAATCTTCACCAGGATGGTGGGGTAATAATTGACCACCCCATGGATGCATGTTACCCCCAGTATGTTTGGGCTGCATTAGCTGGCTATGGCTACTTTTCACTAGCTTCCCCGAGATGAGTGTGATAGAATTCCCGGAGTCCACAAGTGCCATGGTCTCTACCCCATTCAGTCTCACTGGCCTTGTGTGTTTATGTGGAGTCACTGCCTCTTTGCCCAGGTTGCTCCATCCCTTCGTGGCTCCTGGCTGGTCCTTGGCTCCTCTCGACTTTCACCTAGACTTCCCTGGCTCAATCATCCGAACACCCAGGATAGGGGCTGGTCGTTTGATTCAGATGTTGTGGTTGGGATAGTTCCTTGGTCATTATTCATCTTTCCACCAGCACGACCACCTCCATCGTCATAGAAGGAGGGGTCATTCTGGCAAACCGATGCGCAAAGCTCTGGTGGAAGTTCCCTCATGTACTGGTCTGTAGCCAAAATATCCTCTGGTCTATGGGCCTTAGATCACAGCCACTTCCATGCGAGGTTAGTAAGGTTAAATAGTTGGGACCACAGAGGCTTTGTTCTGTTGGTATCTCCACATGTGATACCTCTGGGGCTGCACTGCTGCAGTCACCCCTGATCGGGCCAGGATCTCCACTTTCAACTGGGGATAATCGGTTGCGGCTTCTGCAGACATGTCATGGTAAGCTTTCTGAGCCTCCCCACATAAAAAGGGGGTGAGGATGCTGGATCACTGGTCCTGGGGCCAGGCCTCGGACAACATGATCCTTTCAAATGTAAGGAGCTATGCCTCGACATTGTCTTCTGCAGCATCTTTGGTAGATAACCAGTAGCTCTCAGTGCTTGTGTCCCGTCAGGCCCATGGGCTAGGGGTGGTCAGAGCTTTTGGCTGGTCCATCACCTCTCACAGCAGGGCTAGGTCCTGGGTCGCCTGACTCATAAGTAATTGGTTGGTCTTGTGCTGCACTGCATTGATTCCTGCTGGGCTGTCACTTGGGCCCAGGTGGCCTCCTGCTGGGCCACCGTGGCCTGTTCTAGTGCCCTCACCACATCGTCAGTTGTGTTGAGGACAATTAAAATTCCCTCCCCCCCTTTTTCTTTAGCTTAGTCCACTGCGCTGTCACAATCCCATCTCTCACACCAGTTGTGACAGAGCTCCTTCTCCACCTCGGTAGTTTCTGCACTTCCTCTTAGCAGCGAGCCAGGGTATTCCTCTCCCTCAGAATTTCCCCACGTCCCTGGGCTTACTGTCCACACCTTGCCTGAGCAGGGTTCGTCCCAGCCTCCTTGATGGGAAGGGGGAGGGGAGACCCTTAGTCTCTGTTAGCCCCTATGGGCATGGTGACAACAGGCCAGACATCCATTCAGTCTCTCACCTCTGGTGGGGTTTCTTCCCTCAGACCTTGGGACCCAGAAGGGCTGTTCACCCTGCTGGGCAGGGTTTCCCTTGCCCTTCGCCTCTGTACCTGTGGGGTTTCCCTTGCCCTTCGCCTCTGTACCTGTGGGGTTTCCCTCCTGGTGCTTGTCAGCATCTGCACTGCCCAGCTCTTCAGTAGCGCACCTTCCTCCCACAGCTCTTATCATGCCCTTATCTGGTTGGAAGGGAGGCTCTTAACAGGTTCTGGCAGGCCCCTTGATTGGCCCCAAGTGTCCTAATTAACCTGGAGTAACCCCTGTTCACTTACCAGGGTAAAAGGGACCTGCTTATCCTGGGGCTAATATACCTACTTTCTACCACTCTCCTGTAGCCATCTGGCCTGACCCCATCACACACACACTCTCTCTCTCTATATATATATATTATATATGTGTAGACAAAGCTCTGTCCTTGCCTCCGTAGGTCCCGCATTTCTTGGCGGATTTCGGTAGCCTCAGAGGCTCACTGTGATCCTCCACGTAACCCTTCTCTCTCTAGAGACGAGGGTCACAGTCTACTGAGCCATTTTCATCATGAGCCAGTGAGGGAGGTGAGGAGAAGTTATCCTTCCTTGCACAGTCTCTGTTGTCTCCCAGTCTCAGTGATTAATCAGGGGGCAAAGCAGGGGGGAGCCCGGGCCTACCCTTTACTCCGGGCTCCAGCCCAGGGACCCTAATAGCATCAGCTATGGTAGCTGACCTTTTAGAAATATAACGTGTACAATTCCCTGGGCTCCTTCCCCCACAGCAGCCCTCACTTTCTCAAGCTCCACTTCACCCTTATCTCAGGGCCTCCTTCCTTGTGCCTGATATGGTGTGTACTACTCAGTTTCTCCAACAGCGCAACTTCCTCCCACAGCTCCTGACATGCACACCCACCTGACTAACTGGGAGGCTTTTAACTAGTTTCAGCCCGCCCTTGACGGGATTCAGGTGTCCCAATCAACCTAGCATTCTCCCTGCCTTCTGGAAAGTTCTTAATTGGCCCCAGGTGTCTTAATTGACCTGGAGCAGCTGCCATTTCACTTATCCTGGTACCAGGGATTTGTTTAGCCTGGAGCTAATATATCTATCTCCCACTACTTTTCTATAGCCATCTGGCCTTGCCCCGTCACTAATATATATAGATCAGAACACACATTAACAGAAGGGTCAATTCTTCAATTTCTTATTTATGTGAAGCCAATGTGAAGCTTACATGACTAAATACCACTCACATGAATAAAGGATTACAGTATAGGGGCCTTAGAAAGATCACCAAAAGGAATTCTTTCTTTCTTACTCTGGCATTAGTTTATGCTAGATAAAGGAAATCAGAAAAATCTCTCTGCCTGATTGTTTGGGGGAAAGTAGCTCTTACAGAAGAAAATGTGATCCAAACTAGGTATTTGAATTACAGATTGTACAACTTTACATTGTTTATGGAAAAAATAAAATCTGACTCACTCATCTCAGTTTGTATCGTGCTGGGACCACACATAGCCTTTAGTTTCTGGGTCACTGTGTTAATTCAGAATAACCTAAGACTGCTGAGCAGAATATTTCTTGTTGGGTCAACTACACAGTTTGTACAAATGAATGTAATTAGCTGTCTCTGAATTAAACAGTTTTCAGATTAATTGCTGCCTCAGTTTATGTTTAGTGCTCTGGATACATGGAATAAAAGCAACAGGGCCTCTGAAATGAAATAAATATACATACCTCTTTTGTTTTCTTACGCGTCATAGATTTTTACTACTCCAAGGCAGTGATTCTTTGGTTTGCACTAAAGTCAGTTTTCCCTCCTACACCTTTCATGTTAGGCTCCGCATCCCATTCTGCTTCTGTCATAGATGGATAGTTATACCTAAGTACCCATAACACATTGGCAGGTACATTAAAATATCATAGAGGATAGATTAGATTGCAAATACTGCACTCACCCTGAGAGTGACAAGCTCCTTTGCAGTTGCAATGCAACTTCATAACCAGCCATGTGATAGTACCGGAGAAAGTTTAATATGTGTTAACTAGTAAGTTTGAAGCAGCATTACTTGGGATTTGAAAATAGTTGTGAGGATGGATTCTTTAAAAAGGAGTCTATCTGGCTGATAGATTGGTAGTGTCATATACATGATGATCTCCGCTCCTTCCACACAGTGAAATGAGGCTCTCAACATTAACCCTTTATTATCAGCTGATACCCATCCACCTCCCTTCCCTTCAAATGTGCGTTGACATAACTGAAATATAGCCTTAACTATAAAGGCACCACTGTTGCCTTTGTAATATATATAATGTATATTAGAAATGAAATAACTTCAGCACCTAAATGCTGTTATTTGCATAGAATCATAGAAATAGAGGGCTCGAAAAACCTCAAGAGGTCATCTAGTTCAGTCCTTGGCACTGAGGCAGGACCAAAGCATACCTATATCACCCTGACAGGTGTTTGTGTAACCTGTTCTTAAAAACCTCCAATAATGCAGATTCCACAACCTTCCTTGGAAGCCTATTTAACTACTCTTATAGTTAGAAAGTTTTTCCTAAATCTCTGTTGCTGCTGATTAAGTACATTACTACTTGTCCTACCTTCAGGGGACATGGAAACCATCTGAGCACCATCCTCTTTAAAACAGCCCTTAACAGCCATATTTGAAGACTGTTATCAGCTCCCCCCCTTCAGTGTTCTTTTCTCCACACTAAATATGCCCATTTTTTAAAATCTTTCCCCATAGGCCACGTTTTTAAGCCTTTTCTCACTTTTGTTGCTCTCCTCTGGTCTCTCTCCAATTTGTCCACTTGTTTCCTAAAGTGTGGTGCCCAGCACGCACTACTCCAGCTGAGACCTCACTGGTGCTGAGTAGCATTGTACAAATTACCTCCCATGTCTTAAATGACACTCCTGTTAGTATGGTTCAAAATACTAGCCTTTTTCGCAACTGCATCATATTGTTGACTCATATTCAATTTGTGATCCTCTAGAACCCCTTTTCAGAAGAATATCAATGTAGCCAGTAATTCCCCATTGTATAGTTGTGAATTTGATTGTTCCTTCCTAAGTGTAGGACTTTAAACTTGTCTATATTGAATTTCATCTTGTAATTTCAGACCACTTCTCCAATTTATCAAGGTCATTTTGAATGCTGATCCTGTACTCCAAAGTGCCAGCAACCTCTCCTAGCTTGGTCATCTACAAATGTTATAAGCATACTCTCCACGCCTGTATTTAAGTCATTAATGAAAATATTGAATAGTACCTGACCCACTTGATATGTTCTTTCAGTTTGAAAGAGAATCATTGATAACTTCTCTGTGTAGTTTTTCAGCCAGTTGTGCACGTATCTTATAGTAATTTAATCTAGACCATATTTCCCTAGTTTGCTTATGAGAATGTCATGTGGGACTGTGTCAGAAGGCTTAGTAAAATCAGGATCTATCACGTCTACCTCTGTCAAGGTTCCTTCCCCACTCTGAACGCTAGGGTACAGATGTGGGGACCTGCATGAAAACCTCCTAAGCTTATCTTTACCAGCTCAGGTCAAAACTTCCCCAAGGTACAAAATATTCCACCCTTTGTCCTTGGATTGGCCGCTACCACCACCAAACAAATACTGGTTACTGGGGAAGAGCTGTTTGGAAACGTCTTTCCCCCCAAATACTTCCCAAAACCTTGCACCCCACTTCCTGGACAAGGTTTGGTAAAAAGCCTCACCAATTTGCATAAGTGGCCACAGACCCAAACCCTGGGATCTGAGAACAATGAAAAAAGCATTCAGTTTTCTTACAAGAAGACTTTTAATAGAAATAGGAGTAAATAGAAGTAAAGAAATCCCCTCTGTAAAATCAGGATGGTAGATACCTTACAGGGTAATTAGATTCAAAACACAGAGAATCCCTCTAGGCAAAACCTTAAGTTACAAAAAAGATACACAGAAATAGTTATTCTATTCAGCACAATTCTTTTCTCAGCCATTTAAAGAAATCATAATCTAACACATACCTAGCTAGATTACTTACTAAAAGTTCTAAGACTCCATTCCTGGTCTATCCCCGGCAAAAGCAGCATATAGACAGACAGAGACCCTTTGTTTCTCTCCCTCCTCCCAGCTTTTGAAAGTATCTTGTCTCCTCATTGGTCATTTTGGTCAGGTGCCAGCGAGGTTACCTTTAGCTTCTTAACCCTTTACAGGTGAGAGGAGTTTTCCTCTGGCCAGGAGGGATTTTAAAGGGGTTTACCCTTCCCTTTATACTTATGACAACCTCTTACCCCCATCCACTAGGCCAGTAACCTCTTCAAAAAAGGAAATTAGGTTGGTTTGACATGATTTGTTCTTGACAAATCGATATTGGCTATTGCTTATAAACCTATTATTCTCTAGGTACTTACAAATTGATTTGTTTAATAATTTGTTCCAGATATCAAAGTTAGGCTGACTGGGCTATAATTTCTTAGGTCTTCTTTGTTCCCCTTCTCATCATACTTGTCATATACTGATGAACCTCAAATATGCCTAAATTATTTTAACTGCCAGTGGTTAGAGCAAGGGCCTGTGAGACCAGACTTCTAGGTTCTGCAATGAGTAAAGTAATTTCTGAAAGGTATATAAATCTGTTTGTAAAGTTGATAGAGCACTTTGGGATCTCTGGAGGAAAGGCACTAAATAAGACCCCAATCCTGTGGAGACTTATGCACATGCTTAACTTTATGCACATGAGTATTCCTAAGAAGAGATTGAGTTCAATATGACTATTCACATACATAAGTCTTTACATGATAAGGTGCTAAGTGCTGTTTAACATCAGAGATGTAAATATGAATTCAATATCTCAGCCTTAACTTTGCCTTTTCTGTTTTTTATGGGGTGGGAATATATGGATTTATTTATGCACCATGAAATCCAAATAGGAGCCAAATCCTGCCACTGGAGCAATGTGGATTGCCCCCCAGTCTGTATGGAGTTCCTGTTCCCATGCAGAGTCCTATTGAAATCATTGCAGCTGTGCAAGTATTCAAAGATCTGCCTGTGTGCATGCAGTTGCAGTAACTGGCCCTAAATCTGTAGAAGTGGATGGGAAGTAGGGATGGGTAGCAAACCGTTTTGAAGGGGATGTAACAGAGCCTTCTGTCACCTTTCATCTTATTAGCCAAATAGACGATAGCCAATTCCTATTCTATTTTTCGTGAGTGCATTATGCTCATGTTCCAGTCACTCCCCACACACATGGTTTATTGAAAGTAATGTAATCTGCTGATGGGGGCAAACCTGACAGATTCCAGGCTTGGCAAAGTTAAATTGTGCTTGTGTTTGACAATAAAAAATAACTAAGGGCTTGCGCACAGCAGAAAATGTTTGTGGTCTTCTGAGCTGCACGAAGCCTACCAGGCAATGACGGGTGGCTCCACAGCAGGCCAGTCTCTTCAGGGAAAAGACTGATCTGCTATAGAAGCCCAAAAGGAAAACCTTGAGTGTAAGGTAGGGAGGTTCCATGGTGTGAGGTACTGAAACGTGTGAGAGAGCTCCCTCTGGTGATGTTTCTGTATATATTCCCACAGAATGCCCCCCTCCCCGCTTAATTTTGAGCTACAGTTGCTAGACTTCATATCCAAACAACCCAAACAATAATCAAAAGCAAATCAACAATCAGCACCCCCATCCTTCCACTCATTAGTTCCTCTTTTCAACCTAAAACTATCTCCTTCTCAATACTAGGGTTGCCAACTTTCTAATTGCACAAAACTGAACACCCTTTCCCTGCCCCTTTCATGAGGCCCCGCCCCCTGCTCACTCCATCCCCCCCTTACTCCATCGCTCGTTCTTCCCCACCCTCACTCATTTTCATTGGGCTGGTTCAGGGCACTGGGGCGCGGGAGGGGGTGCAGGCTCTGGCTGGGGGTGTGGGCTCTGGGGTGGGGCTGGGGATGAGGGGTTTAGGGTGCAGGAGAGGGCTCCAGGCTGGGACAGGGGGTCAGGGTGCAGAGGGATATAGGCTCTGGGCTGGGAGTGCAAGATCCAGGTGGGCAAGAAATGAGGGGTTCAGGGTGTGGGGGACGGCTCTGGGCTGGGGCAGAGGGTTGGAGGGTGGGGGGTTGAGGGCTCCTGCTGGCGGTGCTGTAGGGGGGTTTTCCTGTCATATTAGCCCCTATGTGCCATCTTGGATTTCCTGTAACAACAACCTGGAATCTGTGTTTGGTACCCTTCTTCCCCCTCCCCCTGTTGGGTTTGGCACACTTTTCCCTCAGAGGTGGGAAATTGGCAGGTCCCTGACTGGTAATCTGCCCAGCAACTGGGCAGTGTATAGGTCTAGGTTGTCAGGAAGCCAGGGCTGCCCATCTTGGAGGTAGCATATGCTGCTGTTCTAGGAAATAGCTAATGCTGCTGTCTGCATCATAGGTAGGCCATAGCACCACACTAGGATTGTTGGGAGGGTAGCTTACCTTGCACGCGAGGATGGCTGCCATCCGCTGTCCTGATTCTTCAGCTCACATCCACCTCCAATGACGCAGGGAGGAAGATCTATAAAGGAGGAAGACAGAGTGATCATCTACCTGTCTGAGTTCCTGCTACCAGTACCTGACCGTGTCACCTGGATCCAGAGGTCAGCCAGTCGTGACAGTGGAGCTGCTCCTCAAGCTGCAAGAGATGGTAAAGAAGCAACATATTGTTCTTTACTGGACCTGATCTGGGTTTATTCTTGGGACAGGGCTGCAAGCCCTCTACCTTGTCGTAGATAAAGCCTGTCATATTTGATCCCTTTTTCTGTTGCAGCCAGGGGTCCTTAGTGTTTTACCTATGTTTTTTACCTTGTTTATCTTACTTGTTTAACTGTTGCCTGTTAATAAATCTGTCCCTTTTTTTGCACCTTATCCCTTGTAAGTTTTCTTTGGGGGTAAAGACAAACCAGTTGAGAGATGTGGGGTAGGGAGATGAACCTCAGACTGGTTCCCCTGGCCAAGATATAAAATCCAGTCAACAGTGTGGGCTCTGGGGTGTGGCTGGGGATGAGGGGTTTGGGGTGCAGGAGGGGACTCAGGGCTGGGGCAGGGGGTTGGGATGTGGTGGAGTGTGGGCTCCGGGAAGGAGTTTGGGTGTGGGAGGGGACTCCAGGTTGCGGTAGGGGTTGGCATGAAGGAGTGGGTTCGGGGTGCAGGGTCCCAGCGGCAGCTACTGTGGCTCCCAGGAAGCAGCCGCCAGGTCCCTGTGGCCCCTAGGTGCATGGATGGCCAGGGAGGCTCCACATGCTGCCCTCGCACCTGCAGGTGCTGTCCCCACAGCTCCCATTGGTTGCAATTCCCAGCCAATGGGAGCTGCGGAGCCAGCACTCAGGGTGGGGGCAGCGGGCAGAGCCTCCCTGGCCACCCATGTGCCTAGGGGCTTCAGGGACCTGGCAGCCGCTTGCAGGAGTCATGTGGAGCCGGGGCAGGCAGGGAGCCTGCCTTAGCCCCAGGCCCCCACTGCACTGCTTACCAGACTTTTAATGGCCCGGTCAGAGGTGCTGACTGGAGCCGCGAGGGTCCCTTTTCGACCGGGTGTTCCAGTCAAAAACCATATGCCTGGCAACCCTACTTAATACCGGAATATCTCTAGCATTATCCTGAACAACCAACAGGTTCCCTTGAAATATCTGAATAGATGATTTGTGCCTTCAGCAATTATTTTAGTGCTGCTATTTAATTTTTTTCGTAGAAATTATGGAAATGAAATCTGCATATATGTTAATCTGACTTTGAGTGGCATAACTCCACCTGAGAGAGGCTTATTTTGTTAAAACCCCCATCCTCCATATTGTGTATTTTTTTCCTCTAACAAACCCAAGTTCTGATACAGAGAAGCAGCCAGGAGATTAGGAGAAGGTAAGCAACTTAAACTTCTTCTTTAAAAATTCGATGGGAAAAAGGTGAAGGATTTGGTAGCTGCTGGACCAAAGGATTACTTGTCTTCTGCTTAGCCTGACTACTTTCAGGTGAGTATGAAGATTGTGTTGATTGTGACAAAATGGGAATTTTCTATAATATATAATGCTGTGTGTGCTTTGGTTTCCCTCTGTAATTTGTAAAAGATACCGTAGCCTAGGAAAGCAGCAGGCACTGCAAGTCAGTGCATCATATGTAGCAAACACAGATGCCTACTAGCATTGGAACCACAGCACTTCACTCCCATGCAGGGCACCAAACATTACTGGTGGCTTTCAGCATCGAATTGCTCCCTCAAGGCATCCCTAATCCTTACAGCCCCACGCTCGGCCCCTCTAATAGCCCTGCTCTCTGGCTGTTCAAATTCAGCTTCCAGGTGTTGAACCTCCGTGGTCCATGCCTGAGTGAAGCCTTAACCTCTCCTGTGACAAATGTTATGGAGGGTACAGCATCTGGCTATAACCGTGAGGATGTTGTCATCGGCCAGGTCCAGCTTCCCATACAGACAGTGCCAGCGGCCCTTTAAACAGCCAAAAGCACACTCAACAGTCATTTTGCACCGACTTGGCCTGTTGTTGAACCGCTCCTTGCTGCTGTCAAGGCTCCCTGTGTAGGGTTTCATGAGCCACAGCATTAAAGGGTAAGCGGGGTCTCCAAGGATCACAATGGGCACTTTGACTTCCCCTACAGTGATCTTCTGGTCTGGAAAGAAAGTCCTGGCTTGCAGCTTCCTGAACAGGCCTGTGTTCCGAAAGATGCATGTGTCATGCACCTTTCCGGGCCAGCCTGCATTAATGTCCATGAAAAGCCCACGGTGATCCACAAGCGCCTGGAGAACCATAGAGAAATACCCCTTCCGATTTATGTACTCGGAGGCTAGGTGGTCAGGTGCCAGAATTGGAATATGCGTCCCATCTATCGCCCCTCTGCAGTTAGGGAAACCCATTTGTGCAAAGCCAGCCACAATCTCATGCACATTGCCCAGAATCACAGTTCTTCTGAGCAGGATGAAATTAATGGCCCTGCAAACTTGCATCAACCTGATTCCAACGGTCAATTTTCCCACTCCAAATTGGTTAGCAACCGATCCGTAGCTGTCTGGAGTTTCCAGCTTCTAGATTGCAATAGCCTCTTCTCCACCGCAAGGCAGCTCTCAATGTCATGTCCTTGCGCCTCAGGGTGGGGGCGAGCTCAGCACACAGTCCCATGAAAGTGGCTTTTCTCATCCAAAAGTTCTGCAGCCACTGCTCATCATTCCAAACTTGCATGACGATGTGATCCCACCACTCAATGCTTGTTTCCTGAGCCCAAAAGCAGCGTTCCACTGTAGTGAGCATGTCCATGAATGCCACAAGCAATCTTGTGTCATATGCGTTATGCGAGTCGACATCATTGTCAGATTCCTCACTGTCACTTTGTAGCTTAAGGAGTAACTCGACTGCAATTCGTGACATGCTGGCGAGACCCATCAGTGTATTCCTCACAAGTTCAGGATCCATTCCCGCAGACCAAAAGGGAAGACAGAGCGTGCAGTATAAAAAACGTTGAAAGATGGCACCAAATGTGGACAGAAGCAGAGGGATTGCTGGGATGTGAAGCGGTGCATCACGGGGCATTGGGACAGGACCCAGAATGCCTCACACCCTTCCCTCCCCCTTCCCACAAGCCATGGTGCCAGAATGGGAAGATGTGCTCTGTGGGATAGCTGCCCATAATGCACCACTCCCAATGCTGCTGCAAGTGCCATAAATGTGGCCACGCCACTGCGCTTGCAGCTGACATTGTGAACACACAGCAGTGCTTTCCCTGCTGTGGTCTCCGAGGGCTGGTTTAACTCCCGGCGCTCTACATCTGCAAGTGTAGCCATGCCCCCATTGTTCCCTGTCTGGCTGCTGCAATTGCCTGTTGTCTCTTGGTTTAGATTGTAGGCTCTTCAGCTTCATTGACTAGCACCTTCTTTTGTTGGGTGTGTGGCTGGTGCGTGGCACACTGGGGCCATCAGCCACTACCCCAATCCACAGCAATAATAACCAATCCCGCCCTGAAGTGCCAGCGGGCAGCGCTCAGCCCTGCTGCAACTATCTCCTTGGCAAGCCTGCCCCAGGACTGCTGGCAAGCAGCAGAAGGTGCTGCTGGGTCATTTTTAGCGCCCTACCAAATTCACAGTCCATTTTGGTCAATTTCATGGTCATGGGATTTAAAAAATTGTAAATTTAATGATTTCAGCTATTTAAATCTGAAATTTCACAGTATTGCAATTGTAGGAGTCCTGACCCAAATAGGGTCGGGGTTGCAAGGTTATTGGGGGGGGGGGGCTGCAGTACTGCTACTTGTACTTCTGTACTGCTCCTGGCAGCAGCACTGCTTTCAGAGCTGGGCAGCTGGAGAGCAGCGGCTGTTCGCCAGGAGCCCAGTCTGAAGGCAGAACTGCAGCCAGCAGCAGCGCAGAAGTAAGGCTGACATGGCATGGAATTGCCACCCTTACTTCTGCACCGCTGCTGACGGGGTGCTGCCTTCAGAGCTGGGCTCCTGGCCAACAGCTGCTGCTCTCCAGCCGCCCAGCTCTGGAGGCACCACAGAAGTAAGGGTGGCAATACTGTGGCCCCCAAAAATAACCTTGCGACTCCCCCTGCAACTCCCTTTCTGGTCAGGACTCCCCCCCCGTTTGAGAAACGCTGGTTTCCCCGGTGAAATCTGGTCTTTTGTGTGCTCTTACCTTATACTATACAGATTTCACGAGGGGAGACCACACCAGATTCCACGGTCTGTGAGGCATTTTTCATGGCCATGAATTTGGTAGGGCCATTGTTTATGCACCAGACATGCTAGCCCCACCCCCACCGACCCCCCCGTCCAGCAGTGGCTGGAGCAGAAACCTGGGGCCTCAGCCAGTCCTGTCCCAGCTCTGTGCGCAGAACGCCTCCCTCGCGCGCGCCCCCGCGCGGGCAGGGTCTCGCGCCCAGCGGCGTGTGTGAGAGAGAAGGGGGGGGGGCCTCCAGTGAGTGTCACCTCACGTGTCCTGCCCTGCGCGTGCGCGCTTCGTTTCCTGCTCCCGTGACCTTGCGGTGGGGGTTCGCTCGCCTCGCGGCCGGTGCGTGCTCAGCCTCCATTTGCCGGTGCCGGGGCTGTTGCTGAGGGACGATGCGGGCGCTGGTGCTGCTGTTCCTCCTGGCGGCGGGGCTGGGCCGGGCCGCGACGGAGCAGGGGGCCCTGCCGGCTAAGAAGCTGCGCATGGCCTACGCCACGGGGCCGCTGCTCAAGTTCCAGATCTGGTAAGTGCGCGCTCGCTCGGGCTGCGGCCGGCAGCGTCCGCCACCCCCGCCCCGGGCTCGGTTCCGGGAGCGCCGGTCCTCGGCGGGGCGCTGGGGCAGGGGCCTCCAGCCGCTTCTTCCCCCGCTCTGTACGCAGGCGGGGCTCCCTGTGCCAAGCCCGAGACCCGCTGGGGGCGAGCGCGGGCGGCGAATGGGCCTCACCTCCCTCCCCGAGAGTTTCCCGGATCGTGCGGAGCCCTGGGCCCGGTGATTGAGCCCCGGTCCCGAAGGCGGGTGGCCGGAGAAGCCCTGCTCGCTGCGGCTCTAGGGGGCTGCAGACTGCGCCGGGCGGTCGCTGTCAGGGAGGGATTGCCAAGCTTTTTGGGTGGCCAGCCTGCTGCTGGGAAGGTTTGCCAGGCGGGGGCTAGTCGAACCGGACTCGGTCAGGCTCTCTTGTGTTGAGGGGGAGGGGTTGTGAGCTCCGTATTCCCTCCCCGTGCTGAGGTTGCCGAATTGTGTAATATTTTAACTTGTGTTTGTGTGTAGCGTCTAATGTCTCCTTCCCGTTCTCGTTGTAGTTGTTCTTTACAGTAGTGAGACTCAAATAAGAACTTGGTTTAGATCATAACATGGATAAAGTTGAGATCTGCAGTGTAGTTTGTGTTGGGACCCAGAATGACTTGCATTTCTTTAATCAGGGTGTCAGTCATGGATTTGGGTAAGTGATACCTAGAAGAAATCAGAAGACTACAGAGAAGCAATTAATACTTTAGGTCTTAAAACCGTAGCAGTACCTCTTTTGAACATTAAATGTTTAATGATGAATTTTTCTGATAACCGAATCAGTGTTGAATAAATTTTTGTCCTTACCTTTATGATCTCTGCTTCTTTAAAATATACCAGAGATTCATGTAACAAGGAAGAACTCGTATCTTTTAACGTGGGTTTTTTTGGTTAATCTTTAGTAGTAGTCTTTTAACCCCTTTCACAGCAAGTGTTAATTTAAAAAAAAATGTTTCTGCTTTTCAGGACTATTTTTAAGCTGCTCTTGTGTACTGTGGTTACATTCGCATAGCAACCCATCACAACTGGGACTCAGAGACAGAACAGTAAATAATTAAACAACAACAAAAAACCCCTTCCCAGCTGCCTTAGTGTTTTAAAATAACATAGAGGCACTTTCAGTTTTTTAATGCTATTGCTGGAACTTTATCATTTATAAAGTTAATATTGAAAGGAGAAAATATCTTACTCTCTCTAGTCCTTGATAGAAATTGAGCAATAGTTTGGAAGTTACGTATGATATAATAGCTAACTTTTGGTTTAATAGAAGACACATTTCTCTAGAAAGGGTTCATAGGGCACTGTAAGATTAAAACAGAGCTATTAAACAACCACCTCAAGGGGAGAATCCAGCCCCACTTCTTGGTTGTCATCTGTAGGGCATAACTGGATTCTGCAGGATCTGAGCTTTCATTTTTAAAAAGTAAGTTACTAGCCCTCATGATTGTGGAGAAAACCTTTCAAATATGAACAGAGTTTAGACAGCTGTGGTTTTGTCTTGAGTCTGCAGACAATGACTGTGAGGTGTGCACTTACCTGGCTCAATTATTCTTATTGGGATGTAGGCTCTAAATATTAATGATGACCCTTCATTTTAGTAACTGTCTAATTGCGGATCATTTTATCTGACGGGGAGGTGGGAATTGTGAGTTGATGCAGGAGAGAAAATGCTGAGTGAAGATAAGAGGGGGTACATAAAAACAGGGAATGGGGAGAAGTGTGAGGATGGGGAAGGTAGAGAAAGGGCAGAAGCAGTGGTGGTCCTGAAGGAGAGCATAGTTTCCTTCTGAGTGATGTTGAAGAAGGTTTAGCAAATAGCTAAAAGTTTAGTTACTACATAAAGGACATTATACCTTTGGGCTTATGTTATTAGGAGCTCTGCTGTGAATTGATGGTAGTATATAGCATATATGTAATACTAATGCTCATAGACAATAATTTTAAGGAGTCTGACCATTTCCAAAAAATGAGATTTCCGCCTTTGAAACTTTAACTTTTTATCCTATCGCTTTTTTGTACATACTGGGGACGTGTCATCAATTAATTGTTATATTTGATGAGCAGCTGAGTTTCTAGCCAAACTTCTTTTTTTAAAAAGTCACATCATTAACAGAATATTTAGACTTAATTTTAACATGATATTGTGATGTATCTGTAAGTATTTGTAAAAGTGGTAGCTGTTGAAAGGGAAAACATGTCTTGACAGGATGTCAAGGAGTAATTTTGAAATACATGGTTTTAAAACAGATGTGAAGTGTCTAAGTTTATACAACTTTGTGAAAGATACATTTTATCAGCATACAAAATGGTTTCCCACAAATCAGCAAAGGGTTAGTAACAGAAATAGTACTTCATCTAATATTTAAATAACAGATACATCTATTAAATACAGTATTCCATACTGATGTGTTCCATAGTGCTTCAAACCCAAACAAAAGCTATACTCGGGATCAGAAATAGAGCTGTCCTACATCACCACCAAAATTATGCAGGAAAGAGTGTATGTTACCTTTGTGTAGTATTGATCATCTCTGATAGGAGAAGATAAATCTAGCTACATGTCATAAGTTTTATCAGAACTAGTTATTTTGTCTGCTGTCTCTGGTATAATTTTCCACAAGTGCTGCCAGTCTTTGTGAACAATGTTCACAGCAGTAGACTTCCGATGTCATTAGCATGGCGAGCATTCCCTACTGCGCAGTGGTCCCCAAACGTTTTGTTTTGTGCTCCCCACCCAGTAATAGAATGTGTCCACGCTCCCCTGGGCTGGGACCGGAGTGGCAGCTGGGGTGGGAGTGGGGGCTGAAGACCAAGAGTGGGGGCCGGGAGCAGAGCCAAGGCCGCAGCTTGGGGCTGGGTGGCACTGTCTTCCTGCCCCCTCGTGGGGGCTGGCCTAGGCCCCACCGCACCACCCCACCCCAACAGTCCTGTGTGCTCCTCTGTGGGGGTGTGCCCCACAGTTTGGGGACCACTGCCTGACTGAGACAGCGTGCAATGCCATTTCAGCAGGAAGAAAATATTCCATGTTGGAGCAAGAATGTGCACCCCAAGCCCATAAAAATTAATGGAGTTGTTTCATATTGGTACTAGTGATTCTATAAAACACTACAAGTAACAAACTTTAGTCAAGATAATATAGCTCTTCATTTTCTTACTTACTATTTCTATATATTTTCATATATTAATGAGACATGCAATCAGATTTTACCTGAAACAGTTTTTACATTTACAAGACATAGGTGAGCATCTTCATAGTTTACTAGAATAAACTAGCATGTTTGACCCTGTATTCATTATCTAAATTCTTCTCTCCATAATAATTTTTAATGGACATTTGTTTTGACATCAGTCTATTCACTTTTAGAATAATATAACTAAAATTACCTATCCTTGACAGTCTGTGAAACGTGCTTAATTGAAATTACTGGAAATGCAACAGTATATCACAGTTTTATAGGAAAGTTCTTTTGTTCAAAGTAAAATCTCAGAGTAAAATTGTGTGCATGCAAATACAATTTTCCTGTTATGACAAATTTTCTTAGTTTGTCAAACAAATCGTTTAATTGCCTTTTTAAACTATTTTAAATAGTTACTTAGTTTTATGAAGCAAATACCATTAGACCTAGCTTATATATGTTTCAAGGCCAAATTGCAGTTCAAAATATTTAAAACTGTCGTTATTTCAATAATATGTTTTGAGTGCTCCTGCTAGCCAATGATTGGGGCATTCCATACAAGTAAAAATAGAGGGTCTTTCTACTTGGGTCCTGTGACTCCTTTACAGTGGCTCCATCTATGCTGTGACAGTTCAGAATGTCCGTGACAACTACTGTGGAAGCTTCCCCAACTCCCAATTTGGTGCTAGATTTAGAAAAGATCCTCTTTAATATATTTCATAGTGTTGAAACATTTATTTATTTCAAAGGATATAAAATGGGAAAACTTCATTTAAACATGCAGTACTGCATATTTTTTTTAAAAGGAACTTCTGATTCCTTATGGGTTGATTCCATGCTCCAATAAGAGCATTTCTTGGCACCTGTGGTGTCTCAGGTGTGTGCTCTGGAGTGTTTCAGTGAACAAAAACAAACATAAAAGAGTCTAAAGTGTGTGTGTGGGAGGGGTGTCATAATTTATGCTAAATAATCTCCTTACTATTTGATGAGGAGGCATTCATTGCATGTTTAATGAAGTTGATGTAATTTTTGTATTTTGTTGGCAGTTCACTGCTAAAAACATCTTTTTTCAGAGCTCGCCCCATACTGTCTGTCATCTTCATTTTCACTACTGTGTCTGAGCATAGATAATTTCATTTGTAGAAGGTACAGCTGTTTATAATAGGCTAGACTGTCCAAGACAATAACAAAACCATGGCCTTTCCAACAATGTTTGAGATTTAATGAGAATGATTGTAGTACACTTCTCACTAAAAAGAAACTTTATTGAGAGCACTTTCCTTCAAGTACTATCAGTCAAAAAAAAAAAAAAGTTGCTTATTTTTACCTCAGCAATGGATATTCTCTTTATGCTGGTAGTATGAAGCTCATGACTGTTAGAGATTGTAGTATTAAATAGCTAGACAGCTTTTTATAGATGTCTTCATTCAAGATTTTTGGCTGAAATCTGAAAGTAGAAAACAATCTTTGTCTTCCTTAACCCCTTTAACCATATTTCTGCTTAAATTGACTGATGAGAGCAGGATAAAGTATCAATTTAGGATTTTGCTGTAGCCTCAGCTGAATGAATGATAATTGTCTTGATTGGTATGACTGTCTGATGAAGGTGATCCAGTATAAGGCTCTTAAGTGAACGTTTAAGAACATCGATTTCTGAGTTCATTTGTAAGGTGTAAATACCTTTTTTGCTGTGGCGCAGTCTATTAATTGGTCAAAAATTGTTAAAGTAGTATTTCACTCTAAATGATCATGAGGACTTGTGGAGAGTTTGTATATCTATATTACCAAAAAAAGAGATATCAAATCTATGCCTCACGATCTGTCAGTATAAACATTTGTCCAAAGTTACATTGTTGTTAATGTTTTTTTTTCCCTCTAGTGTTTCCTGAGGCTACAGGCGGGTGTTTGAGGAGTACATGCGGGTTATTAGCCAGCGGTACCCAGACATCCGCATTGAAGGGGAAAACTACCTTCCGCAACCTATATATAGGTAAGTATATGGCTTATCTCCTTATAAACTAGCAGAATGAACCTGTAATGGCTGTATGTACAATTTGTACATATCTCTCAAAGTAGAACAACAGTTTAAAAAGTGTGGGTTAATTTTTTAAGGTATTAAAATAGTCTCTTGTAAAGTCTTTCAGTTTCCATATGAAGGTATTTCCCTTCTCATTTCTAAATCAGATTTAAAGAAAAGAAACTGAGATATATTTTCCCTTGGCAGATGATCCTTATGTGAATATTTGACAAAAACAAAAAAAATTACATCTGTCTGTATCATAATATTTGAGGGCAGGTTAAATTAATTGTAGCCAAAATTCACCTTTGTTCCCTGGACATTAGTTCACATCATCTATCTCTTTTGTAGCTCACTGTTCATATTTACATAATGTTGCATAATATATATATATATAAAGGCTACACTAGGAATGGAGAAGTAGATTTTAAAATTAGTTTTCTTGTGAGTTGATCATAAACTGGAGAATTTCTTTAAACATAATTTAAAACCTGGTGATGAAGGGTGAGAAAATAAATGAAAATGGAATGATTTTTATTTTTGTATTCAGTAATTTACAGGCTAGAAAACTAATGTTGGTGTAAAGGTACTGCAGTGGTTACTGGACCACTTACTTGTCTAATTGCCTCTTGCAGAAATGTTACCAGTTGTAATGAGGCAAAATAAACATTGCAGAAGATTTTTAAAAGCTTTAGTGACTTTACACACAGAATTTTAAAGTTAAATTGTTCTCTGATGTGGGTTTAACCCCCTCATGATGAGTTATAGGGATTTATGTACTCACTGAGAGAACACAGTTCAAGTGGATGTATTTGCACATCGATCATTGAAGATATTATTCTGAAATACGATAAAAGACTGAGTACATTTGCAAGCCTAAGATATTAGGCAAACTGTCAAATACAAATATCAGTTGTATTTATCCTTGTACTTTGTTAAATATATCTTTAAAATGACATCCAGACAGTATGCTATGTCTGTTTTATGTTTTTGTTAAATGAAAAACATTCTAATTCTGCTCTTCTGGATGATCTTAAAAGCCATATATTTTACAAATGGGTGTGGTATTACTTTCTATAAAATTTCTGATTATACAGTGTGAAAATAATTCTAATTGGAGTGATTTCGGCTCTAACGTGGTGCGGTATTAACTAAAAATCTCCTTAGTGACTGTTATGTCTTTGCTTTTGATAGACACATAGCATCCTTCCTGTCAGTCTTCAAACTAGTATTAATAGGCTTAATAATTATCGGCAAGGATCCCTTCGCTTTCTTTGGCATGCAAGCTCCAAGTATCTGGCAGTGGGGCCAAGAAAATAAGGTACACCATTTCCTTTCCTTTAAAAGTAACTTTTTGGTGGTAGGGGCTGACTTTATTGTGACTTGTATAGAAACTGATGCAATATCTGTATTCAGAGTGTTTGTACACTGCAGGTGTTTTTTAAGATACAAATATCTAAAATCTTTATTAGGGAGTATCTAAATTTACTTGACAAATGGAAGGATATTCTAATTGCTCTTAACAATGGTGTCATAAATATAAAGGGAAGGGTAACCACCTTTCTGTATACAGTGCTATAAAATCCCTCCTGGCCAGAGGCAACATCCTGCTACCTGTAAAGGGTTAAGAAGCTCAGCTAACCTGGCTGGCACCTAACCCAAAGGACCAATAAGGGGACAAGATGCTTTCAAATCTTGGAGGGGTGGAGGAGGGGAAGGCTTTTGTTTGTGCTCTTTGTTTATGTGGTTGTTCTCTCTTGGGACTGAGAGAGGCCAGACAGAAATCCATCTTCTCCAACCCATCCTAATCCAAGTCTCCAATATTGCAACCAGTATACGTAAGCCAGGCAAGGCGGATTAGTTTTTTATTTTATGTGAATTTTCACTGTGTTAAGAGGGAGGTTTATTCCTGTTTTCTGTAACTTTAAGGTTTTGCCCAGAGGGAGATCCTCTGTGTTTTGAATCTGAATACCCTGTAAAGTATTTTCCATCCTGATTTTACAGAGATGATTTTTACCTTTCTTTTTTTAATAAAATCCTTCTTTTAAGAACCTGACTGATTTTTTTCCATTGTTCCAAGATCCAGGGGTTTGGGTCATTGATGATTTTGTAACCAATTGGTTAGGATATTATTCTCAAGCCTCCCCAGGAAAGGGGGTGTGTAGGGCTTGGGGGGAAATTTTGGGAGGAAGATGTCTCCAAGTGGTCTCTTTCCCTGTTCTTTGTTTTAAAACTCCTGGTGGTAGCAGCATACTGTTCAAGGACAAGGCAAAGTGTGTACCTTGTGGAAGTTTTTAACCTAAGCTGGTAAGAATAAGCTTAGGGGGTCTTTCTTGCGGGTCCCCCACATCTGTACCCTAGAGTGCAGAGTGGGGAAGGAACCTTGACAAATGGTTACGGTCCTACCAAATTCACAGCCATGAAAAACGTATCACGGGTGGTGAAATCTGATCTTTTGTGTGCTTTTACCCCTTTCTGTACAGATTTAATGGGGAGACCAGTGTTTCTGAAATTGGGGGTCCTGACCCAAAAGGGAGTTGCAGGGGGGTCGCAAGGTTATTTTAGGGGGGTTGTGGAGTTGCCACCCTTACTTCTGTACTGCCTTTAGATCTGGGTGGCTGGAGAGCGGTGGCTGCTGACTGAGGGCCAAGTTCTGCAGGCAGTAGTGCAGAAGAAAGGGTGGCAATACCATACTGTGCCATCCTTCTGCGCTGCTGCTGGCCGTGGCTCTGCCTTCAGAGCTGGGCTCCCAGCCAGCAGCCGCTGCTTTCCAGCTACTCAGCTCTGAAAGCAGTGCCACTGCCAGCACCAGCATAGAAGTAAGGGTAGCGCAACCCCCACTACAATAACCTTGCAGCCCATCCCCCACTCCTTTTTGGGTCAGGATCCCTACAATTACAGCACCGTGAAATTTCAGATTTAAATAGCTGAAATCATGAAAATTATGATTTTAAAAATCCTATGACTGTTAAATTGACCAAAATGGACCATGAATTTGGTAGGGCCCTATCAATGGTGCTTGGTTTTTTTGTCATAGATCCAGATTTGATTGCTGGTCTTTTGCTTTCCAGACTGATAATATGGTAAAAGGAGCACCAAAAGATAAAGCTGTAGCATTGACTGGCTACAAAGGGAGTCTTTACCAGTCAGTAGGGAGTAATTTTTACATAGTCACTGAGAGTAGAGTCACAGTTTTTAAATGCATGGATTAATTTTTTTAAGGTGTTACTCCTGTCTTTCCTTTAGCATTAACTCCTGGCTATTTGTTAGTTATTTCTTATTAACCCTTTTATTCATTTTTTAGAAAAGCAAGATATCTATTTGAACTTCAGAATATTCTTTCTTCTTTTGTAGAATATGCCCTGCATGCTTTAAGGGAAACTTTCGTTACTGATGCGATGAATATCCCGTAAAATCAATCCTAAAATGACACTCTTCTTTTCGTAATAGTTCTGTTCTTAAACTGGCTGTTCTTGGAAGTGATTGATTAACTCCAACTCTGAAGAGTCCCTCTAATTTAAAAAAAATAATAATTGACAAACTTTATCTGGTTTATGCTTTTAAGGGCTAGTCTACACTGGCAACGCTAAAGTGTTGCCGTAGCAGCTCTTTAACATGCCTTGTGTAGTCACGGCAGAGCGCTGGGAGAGAGCTCTCCCAGCCCTTTAAAAAAACCACCTCCACGAGAGGCGTAGCTACCAGTGCTGAGAGCATGGCTCCCAGTGCTGGTGCACTGTTTACGCTGGTGCTTTACAGTGCGGAAACTTGCTGTACTCAGGGGCATGTTTTTTCACACCCCTGAGTGAGAAAGTTGCAGCACTGTAAATTGCCAATGTAGACAAGCCCTAAGGCTGTTGTAATTTGACACATCTTTAAATATTGAGTTTATTATGGGTGCAGCAAACCTCAAACTTAACTACCTGTGAGGTAGGTGTGCATTAGCAGTCAATTGAAACATATGGAAATACTAGAGTACTTGATTGACAAAACAAGCTGAACCAACAAAGTAGTGGATACAGCTGTCCTGCACAATACCCTGACCTTGCTAATGACTTCACTAAGAAATGGCTGGGAGTTTTATTGGTCTGAATATTTCTCATGCTAAGTCCATTGGTTCCTGGATACCAATGTGAACAGACTGGTGTTTAATACTTAATATGAAAAGTTAAAACTATAAATAAATGTACTAGCTATGAAATCTCCAAATGCTATGTTACTGAAGATTGCATCACTTGATCCTTGGTGTATAATGCCATAAGAGAATTTAAAAGAATGGTGTGGAAGGAAAATGCTAGTAGGATTTGCCAGGGGGAAAAAAAGTACAATGACTAACTTACACTTATCAAAGGTACCATATATTTAGGCAGAGAATATTTGTTTCTGGCTACTCAGATTATTGTGGAGAGTACTTCTATAAATCCTTTCACTGGTTTTTCATGTAAACACTGTTAAAATTGTACATCTGCCTTCTGGCTCTGCAGAATGTGAATGGTTTTCTTAAAGTGGATACATCTTAGTTTACAGTATACTTGAAAATGAAACCTTAAGAATCAAGTGGTTCAATATTACTTCAATATTGAACTTCCAGAGTAGCAAGAAAATGTTTTACAAACTACTGTTTAGATTAGGAAGCAAGGAAGATACTAAACAATTATGTGACTATAAACTTGTTTGAGAAAGTGCAAATTAACAATTGAAAAGGCTTTGATCACAATTGAAAAGATTTTAGTTTGTAAAGATGTAGCATGGTTCACAAGACCTCATTGTCTCTGAAATTCACACTAATTCTTAATTGGTTCTAGGTCTATGCTTGTATGATGGTTTTCTTCCTGAGCAATATGATTGAGAACCAGTGTATGTCAACAGGTGCATTTGAAATAACTTTGAATGGTGAGTTTTGAATGTTATTTGAAGGAATTGCTTTGTGTACGCTATACGTATGCTATATACTACAAGAGTTCTCCAAGGCTACCAGCCTCTCCTAAATGAACTAATGAGGGAGCAAATCAGATAAAGCAGTTACCTGTGAAATTTGTGGATGTTAACTCTTTGACATATTGGATAACTACTGTCTGTAGATTGTATAAGGTGGTTCTTATTTGCCTTTCATCTTGAAGCTCACCTGGGGGAAACTTATTATTACTTAAAAGTGAACTAAATGCTGCTTATAACTAAACATAAAGAAGAGAGGTACTAGATTACTAACAAGACATACATGTAGACTTCAAACTGCTTATTTAAAAACACAATAATAAAAACTTAAGCTTTCCTTTAGTGGTGCCTCATTACTCTGAAATCCCCTTTGGGAGTGGTGAGTGCTCTTTCTTACGTAAGCACTGTGTCACAAGACATAGGTGATACTGGTCAGCCAAGGAAGAAATAGGGAGGGAGTTGTCTGCTTTCTCTTCTGTGGGTTTATGTCCCTTCTCTTGGCTAATATGTCTCAGATCTGAGCTATTTCTACTTCTGGAATCTTAGCAACTACTACTGGATTAATAGTGCCAATTTTCATCTGCAGTAGTCCTGGAGCTTGTAATCTTTCCTTTCTGATTTGGACCTCCAAATAATTATCTATTCCTTTCTATTACATTAATCCAACCAGGAGGTGACATTCTACTGACAGCTGCCATTGCAGGCCTGCCACAAGCTTAATGCAGTGCAGAATGCAGTGGCCTGTTTCTTTTGTGGCTCTGGCCACTATAATCATGTAACTCAAGGCTGTGTGGTTTTATACTGGCTTTATAACTGCATCAGAATGAAGTTCGGGGTTATTTAAGTTTTGAGTGCACTGGAACATTTCTGCTTGAGACTGCTTACATGTAATGTATCATGATGGCTAAAATTGACTGTGTACTATTCTAGACTATTCTGTGTGGGACAGTCTGGGTGCAGGCAGCTCAGTTTGGGGGGTGTCTATGTGTGGGGGGGATCTGGGTGCTCAGAGGCTCATTGGGGGGGTTCCAGGTGCAGGGGCAATGGGATTCTGCAGGGGCTTCCAGGTGAAGGTTGTTGGGGTTCAGTGGAGTGGTCTGGGTATGGGGGTCTCAGCGGGGGGGACACGGGTGCAGCTAGTTGGCAGTCAGTGGCGTGGGGGTCTGGATGTGGTGGTGCAGGGGGTGGGGCATCAGGGTCAGAGTTTGAGTGCAGGGATCTCAGTGGAGGGTGGTCTGGGTGCAGGGGTGGGGGTCTGGAAGCAGGGTGTCTGGATGCAGGGGTTGAGATTCAGTGGGGTGGGGTCTGGGTATGGAGGGCTAGGGGGTTCTGGATGTACTGGGTTGGGCTTGGCTGTTATGGGAGGTCCAGATGTACAAGTGTTGGGTGGATGGGGGGAGCAGCTCTCTGTACAGTGACCTCTCCCCGCACAGCTAAGGAGTGATGGAAGCAGGGGAGGATGCTGAGCTTCGTGCAGCTGGGGGAGGTTTCTGGGGGTGGGTCTGGCACAGCACTAGCCTCTTCTTGCAGGGGAAGAGGAAGTCCTGTTCTCTCCAGCCCAGCAGGGACTAGTAGCTGATCCCAGCTCAGGGTAGGAGCCACTGGCTGGGGTATCCTTCGCCCTGCAGTGATTTACCTCTCCACCAGCTGCTCTGGTATCTGTGCTGCTAGGGAGTGGTACGTGACTGCTCTTATCGCTTCCCTGTCAGAAAGTAATTTTTCTAAGAGGAAGTAAAGAAATCTGTGGGGAACATGAATTCTGCACACGTGCAGTGGCGCAGAATTCCCCCCAGGAGTGAATAGCTGAGGGCATTGCTGACCACGAAAACTATTCAGGAAATGTGCCAAGTGTTACAGGATAAACAGCCTTCTGTCTTGGTCTTGGCAAGTACAGACCTTTTTCATTCAGCCTTAAACAGATTACAGGTGGATAGAAATGAGTTGAAAGCTGATCAGACCAACAAGATTTAAGCCTTAGCTATGGTTAAAAGACCCAAAAATCTAGACTGCACCCATGTCTGGGGGAGGGAGGGAATCTGTTAGTAGCTGAGGACAGCAAGGGTATGGATATTTTTGACTCTGAATCCTTATGGTGCCTTTTAAGCAAGGAGCTTAGTGCTTACCCATAATCATTTGGGATGCAGGGTGCTGTACTTCCTTTTAATACATTCAAAGGCTTGCAGAGATTCTTGTTCCAGAAAACTTCCTGAATATAAGACCAAACTGTTGCTAAACTTCTTGGTTCTAATTAGATGACTACAGGTTTTCCTACTACACCTCTATCCCGATATAATGCTGTCCTCGGGAGCCAAAAAAATCTTACTGCGTTATAGGTGAAACAGTGTTTTATCGAACTTGCTTTGATCCACTGGAGTGCGCAGCCTTCCCCCGCCCCTCCCCCCATTCCCGAAGGACTGCTTTACCGCGTTACATCTGAATTCGTGTTACATTGGGGTAGAGGTGTACTTCTAATTGTGTGCTTTTTTCCTTTTTTGTGTTAGATGTTCCAGTGTGGTCTAAGCTGGAGTCTGGTCACCTTCCTTCCATGCAGCAGCTTGTCCAAATTCTTGATAATGAAATGAAACTCAATGTGCACATGGAGTCAATGCACCATCATCGATCATAGCCCCATCTAGCAGCACTGAAAACTTCTTGTAAGTGTGTGGGTGAATGGGAGGTGGTTTTTGTTTGCTTGTGCTGCAGTCACTAGCTACCTTATTAATTAGCAATGCAAAGGATTGTATGGTAAATGGCTGTTCAAGCCAAAGATCCAATTGAGCAGAATAGTCAGGCCACTGTTCAGGAGTTTCTGATCCAAAAACTATTTAGGTGAGTTGTAATTTAGCATTTAAGTAGAGCTGTCAAGCGATTAAAAAAATTAATCATGATTAATCCTGCTATTAAACAATACTAGAATACCATTTATTTAAATATTTTTGGATGTTTTCTACATTTTCAAATATATTGATTTCAATTATAACATAGAATACAAAGTGTACAGAGTTCATTTTATATTTTTGATTACAAATATTTGTGCTGTAAAAAACAAAATAAATAGTATTTTTAATTCACCTAATACAAGTACTGTAGAACAATCTCTTTATCGTGAAAGTTGAACTTACAAATGTAGAGTTATGTACGAAAAAATAACTGCATTCAGAAATACAACCATGTAAAACTGTAGAGCCTTCAAGTCCACTCAGTCTTATTTCTTGTTCAGCCAGTTGCTCAGACAAACAAGTTTGTTTATGTTTGCAGGAGATAATGCTGCCTGCTTCTTGTCCACAGTGTCACCTGAAAGTGAGAACAGGCCTTTGCATGGCACTGCTGTAGCTGGTGTTGCAAGATATTTATGTGCCAGATGCACTAAAGATTCATATGTCCCTTCATGCTTCAACCACCATTCCAGAGAACGTGTCCATGCTGATGACAGGTTCTGCTTGAAAACAGTCCAAAGCAGTGCAGACCAACGCATGTTCATTTTCATCGCCTGAGTCAGATGCCACCAACAGAAGGATGATTTTTATTTTTGGTAGTTTGGGTTCTGTAGTTTCCTCAGCGGAGTGTTGCTCTTTTAAGACTTCTGAAAGCATGTGCCATACCTCATCCCTCTCAGATTTTGGAAGGCACTTCAGGTTTTTAAACCTTGGGTTGAGTGCTGTAGCTGTCTTTAGAAATCTCACATTGGTACCTTCTTTGCGTTTTGTCAAATCTGCAGCGAAACTGTTCTTAAAATGAACAAGTGTTGAGTCATCATCCAAGACTGCTAGAACATGAAATTTATGGCAGAATGCGGGTAAAATAGAGCCAGAGACCTACAATTCTTTCCCTAAGGAGTTCAGTCACAAATTTTAAAAATGTGTTAATTGAGTGTCATCAGCATGGAAGCATGTCCTTTGAAATGGTGGCCAAAGCATGAAGGGACATACAAATGTTTAGTATATCTGGCACGTAAATACCTTGTAATGCCGGCAACAAAAATGCCATGCGAATGCCTGTTCTCACTTTCTGGTGACATTGTAAATAACAAGTGAGCAGCATTCCTGTAAAAGTAAACAAACTTGTTTGTCTTAGCGATTGGCTGAACGAGAAGTAGGACTGAGTGGACTTTTTTAAGTTTTTTGCATCGTTTTCTTAATGCAGTTATGTAACAAAAAGCCCCTAATTTGTAAGTTGCACTTTCATGATAAAGAGATCGCACTACAGTACTTGTATGAAGTGAATTGAAAAATACTGTTTCTTGTTTTTATAGTGCAAATATCTGTAATCAAAAACATTGTATTCTGTGTTGTAATTGAAATCAATATATTTGAAAATGTAGAAAAACATCCAGAAATATTTAATACATTTCAGTTGGTATTCTGTTTAACACGGTGATTAAAACTGTGATTAATTGCGATTAATTTTTTTCATAGCGATTAATTTTGAGTTAATCACGTGAGTTAACTGATTATTTGACAGCCCTACATTTTAGTGTAATATAACTTTTACATAACACTTCATGATAATGCAAGCTAAAGATTTACCTTATGACAGTATGTGGAAAAACGCCTATAAAATGAAGGAAATTACACAGACTCAGGAAATGTTGCCCTTGATGTGAAAATCATTGTCCATTTAAGTCTATTGCCAAAAGCTTTAGAGAGTACCTAGCACTCATTCAGTTTGGTGGTTGACCCAGGCCAACTCCATCTCCTCTTGCTATTGCACTGAGTGAATCCTGCCAGCCAGCCTATTGATCAGATCATGGTGGAGATCAAACTTCAAAGGGATTGACACCTCTATTTTTTATATGAAGCCATTGACTTAGGTTCTGCAAAACCACTTAAGCCTGACTTTAACCCCTACTTATCCTTCAGCAAGCAACACAATAACCAGAGGGATACATAATCTTAAAAAAAAATCAGATATCTTCCACATTATTCAGAGATGCATCTTAATCCCTTTATAATGTTTTGCATATTGGATATGTGCTGCAGGCTTCTGGAAAGTGTTCTCTTACTGCTGGGAACATAGATTGTAAACTTTGGTTTTGGAATAGCATAGAACTTTTTCTTTGTTGATTTAACATAACAGGATTCTAAATCTGATAATACAGTAAAACCTCCCAAGAACGACCACTCATGGGGGTTAGCAAAAGTGATTGCTTGTAAGAGATAATCGCTCTTCAAAGGTTTGTACAGCAACACTAATCTGGTGGTCCATGGCCTCTGCAGGTAGTTGCTCATGACAGGTGGTCTCTCTTCAGAGGTGGTCCCCAAGGGCTTGTCTACACTACAAAATTAGCTCGACTTAAATTAAGTTGGCCTACAGCTACTGCAATAATTAAATCAGCTTGTTAGTATCCACAGTACCCTCCTTCTGCCAGTGGTGTATGTCCTCACCAGAAGTACTTGCACCGACTGCAGTGGGGCATTATGGGGCACTCACAGCTGGACTCCCTTCACACCAGGGCTGACCACCCTAGCTGTGAGCCAGGCACTAGGCTCAATTTCAGAGCAGGGAGCCTACCAGCCGTGAAAATGACATTCTTGTCAGTTTAACGGCTGCTGCTATTTCACATTTCTTCTCTGGGTCCAGCCTGGGAGGGGTTCACAGCTGGAGCCTCCTGGATGAGAGCTGGAGCCAGAGACCAAATGTGAAATAATAGCAGCCCTGAAACTGACAAGAACGAAATTTCAGGGCTAGTAGGCTCCATGCTGTGAAATTGGCTACGGCTGATTGTCAGCCCCTCAGGAAGGGGAGGGTTCCCACTATGAACATGTGCGGGGGACTTGGGCTGTCGGGCATGGGGCTGACAGGAGCCCTGCCTCCTAGCTCAGGCTCTCCTTCATCACTGCCCCCCGATACGGTACGAAACTGCAGAAAAACCTGAGTGTCTCTGTATTAAGTTTAGAAGTGTGAGCAACAAGAGTGATGTAGTGGTGGGAGTCTGCTATAGACCACCGGACCAGGGGGATGAGGTGGATGAGGCTTTCTTCCGGCAGCTCGCAGAAGCTACTAGATCGCACGCCCTGGTTCTCATGGGTGACTTTAATTTTCCTGATATCTGCTGGGAGAGCAATACAGCGGTGCATAGACAATCCAGGAAGTTTTTGGAAAGCGTAGGGGACAATTTCCTGGTGCAAGTGCTAGAGGAGCCAACTAGGGGGGGAGCTTTTCTTGACCTGCTGCTCACAAACCAGGAAGAATTAGTAGGGGAAACAAAAGTGGATGGGAATCTGGGAGGCAGTGACCATGAGTTGGTTGAGTTCAGGATCCTGACACAGGGAAGAAAGGTAAGCAGCAGGATACGGACCCTGGACTTCAGGAAAGCAGACTTCGACTCCCTCAGGGAATAGATGGGTAGGATCCCCTGGGGGACTAACATGAAGGGGAAAGGAGTCCAGGAGAGCTGGCTGTATTGTAAGGAATCCCTGTTGAGGTTACAGGGACAAACCATCCTGATGTGTCAAAAGAATAGTAAATATGGCAGGCGACCAGCTTGGCTTAACGGTGAAATCCTAGCGGATCTTAAACATAAAAAAGAAGCTTACAAGAAGTGGAAGGTTGGACATATGACCAGGGAAGAGTATAAAAATATTGCTCGGGCATGTAGGAATGAAATCAGGAGGGCCAAATCGCACCTGGAGCTGCAGCTAGCGAGAGATGTCAAGAGTAACAAGAAGGGTTTCTTCAGGTATGTTGGCAACAAGAAGAAAGCCAAGGAAAGTGTGGGCTCCTTAATGAATGAGGGAGGTAACCTAGTGACAGAGGATGTGGAAAAAGCTAATGTACTCAATGCTTTTTTTGCCTCTGTCTTCACGAACAAGGTCAGCTCCCAGACTGCTGCGCTGGGCATCACAACATGGGGCAGCCATGGGGTAGATGGCCAGCCCTCTGTGGAGAAAGAGGTGGTTAGGGACTATTTAGAAAAGCTGGACGTGCACAAGTCCATGGGGCTGGACGAGTTGCATCCAAGAGTGCTAAAGGAATTGGCGGCTGTGATTGCAAAGCCTTTGGCCATTATCTTTGAAAACTCGTGGCGAATGGGGGAAGTCCCGGATGACTGGAAAAAGGCTAATGTAGTGCCCATCTTTAAAAAAGGGAAGAAGGAGGATCCTGGGAACTACAGGCCAGTCAGCCTCACCTCAGTCCCCGGAAAAATCATGGAGCAGGTCCTCAAAGAATCAATCCTGAAGCACTTACATGAGAGGAAAGTGATCAGGAACAGTCAGCATGGATTCACCAAGGGAAGGTCATGCCTGACTAATCTAATCGCCTTCTATGATGAGATTACTGGTTCTGTGGATGAAGGGAAAGCAGTGGATGTATTGTTTCCTGACTTTAGCAAAGCTTTTGACACGGTCTCCCACAGTATTCTTGTCAGCAAGTTAAAAAAGTATGGGCTGGATGAATGGACGATAAGGTGGATAGAACGCTGGCTAGATTGTTGGGCTCAACGGGTAGTGATCAATGGCTCTATGTCTAGTTGGCAGCCGGTGTCAAGTGGAGTGCACCAGGGGTCGGTCCTGGAGCCGGTTTTGTATAATATCTTCATAAATGATCTGGAGGATGGTGTGGATTGCACTCTAAGCAAATTTGCGGATGATACTAAACTGGGAGGAGTGGTAGATACGCTGGAGGGCAGGGTTAGGATACAGAGGGACCTAGACAAATTGGAGGATTGGGCCAAAAGAAATCTGATGAGGTTCAATAAGGATAAGTGCAGGGTCCTGCACTTAGGACGGAAGAACCCAATGCACAGCTACAGACTAGGGACCGAATGGCTAGGCAGCAGTTCTGCGGAAAAGGACCTAAGGGTGACAGTGGACGAGAAGCTGGATATGAGTCAGCAGTGTGCCCTTGTTGCCAAGAAGGCCAATGGCATTTTGGGATGTATAAGTAGGGGCATAGCGAGCAGATCGAGGGACGTGATCGTCCCCCTCTATTCGACATTGGTGAGGCCTCATCTGGAGTACTGTGTCCAGTTTTGGGCCCCACACTACAAGAAGGATGTGGATAAATTGGAAAGAGTCCAGCGAAGGGCAACAAAAATGATTAGGGGACTGGAACACATGACTTATGAGGAGAGGCTGAGGGAACTGGGATTGTTTAGTCTGCAGAAGAGAAGAATGAGGGGGGATTTGATAGCTGCTTTCAACTACCTGAGAGGTGGTTCCAGAGAGGATGGTTCTAGACTATTCTCAATGGTAGAAGAGGACAGGACAAGGAGTAATGGTCTCAAGTTTCAGTGGGGGAGGTTTAGGTTAGATATTAGGAAAAACTTTTTCATTAGGAGGGTGGTGAAACACTGGAATGCGTTACCTAGGGAGGTGGTAGAATCTCCTTCCTTAGAAGTTTTTAAGGTCAGGCTTGACAAAGCCCTGGCTGGGATGATTTGGTTGGGGATTGGTCCTGCTTTAAGCAGGGGGTTGGACTAGATGACCTCCTGAGGTCCCTTCCAACCCTGATATTCTATGATTCTATGATTCTAATCCTTCACTGGGAGGTGGCAGCAGAGCTCCCAGCTGTCAGCCAACAGGTGATGTAAGTAACATGGTATCTACACAGAAACTGTCTCACCCTAGCTACATTGACCTAAGCACTATGTTTCTCACCGAGGTGGAGTTAGGTCGATGTAGTGGGTGACCTGCATCGGCAGGAGTGCTATTGTAGTGTAGACACTTACATAGGTTGATGTAAGCTGCCTTCCGTCAATCTAACCCTCCTGTAGACCAGGCCGAAGGCAGGTTTTATTGTACTATACTGTTTCTGGCTATGCACTTTTTTTCATCTAGTTCTTTAACTAGATTTTGGCTAAATGTCCCAATTAAAGATCTTCCATAACTACCCTCTGGAGATGATTCTGCAGCAAATTCCTCTGTTAGAAAGACTTTCTGCTTTTCAGCCGTAATTTTTCCTTTCCTCAACTTAATCCCAGTACTCCTAGTTATAGCTCCTGTACCTTCCTATGTAGTTCCTTTCCCTTTTTAGTGTTTACATGCATAATATATTTATGGACAATGTCCCCCTCACACCCATTAGTTGTCACTTAACTGAATTATACGTATATATTTCTAATATTGGTGGAGTAGGCTATGGAGTCACATAGGTTTTCTCCATAGTTCAGGATTGAAGATGTTCAGACTTGCAACAGTGTGTACAAATGCATCATAGAAACAACTTACTGTGGTTTTTATTGTTTTGACCTAATTGTCCACTGATACAATGTTTTTGTCTCACTGTATTTTCAGCCATTAAGTGACACTTTCCCAAAGGCAGCGTGACTGAAACCTATGAAGGCCTGTACTGAAGACAGCAAGCTGTTAGTGCAGACTGGATGCTTTCTTTTCAGTCATGTTGTACCTCCTGAAAAAACCTTAATGCAAGACATCTTTCGGTGCTGGCATGTTTCCAAATACTGCACAGTCATGGAGTGCAATAATACTGTATAGTGGTTTTTTTAAGAGTTAAGTCAACCAGTTCATAGCTAAACAATGCAGGCATTACTAACTGTAACTTTTGTTTTATATTCATGTGTCACACAATGGAAGATTGAGTAGATATCTTTTTTTCTTGGAAAAAGTTTGTCTAATCTGTTGTAATTTTATATGAATTTGTTCTTTTTGTAGTTTAAAATAGAATTGTAGGAATACTGATTTATTCCCAAACTGTTTTAAAGAGACAATTGCCTATCAAACATCTCTAATTTGGTTATGTTAGGTTTGTATATTTTTTAGAATATATTGCAGAGTGAACAGTGCATTATAAATTATATGAACAAAGCTATATGCAGAGTAATTACCACTTTTGTGATTTCAGGAAAAACAGAAAGACCAACTGCTTCTCAAATTGTATTGGCCAGCTCAAGAGCGTTCCCTTGACCAGTCTATAGAATTGAAAAGCTGGGCCTTTATATGTCCTAAATATAAAGTAAGCAAATTAATTTAAATAAAGAGTTTTCATTTACTGTGTAAAGTATTGGTGTACTTTTATTACTTGTGAAAGTATGACCACACAGAATAATCAAACTGGATTCTTCCAGTTAGAGCTGAAAACAAACCTAGAAGACGTACACTTCACAGGAGCGCTATTAGTCTTGTATTGACTTCTTGTTACTATTCCATCTCAGTGAATTCTCAGAGATACAAGACTGTTATCCAAATACGTTTAACTTAGCCTTGGGAAGTTCATGCTGTAATATGTGGGTTTTTTTTTTTAAATTGTTGAGTGCTATGTGTTCTTGACATTTTGTACATATGAGGCATGTAGGAGAGGGGAGAGAATGCAGTGTCACAGTAGTTAAAAAAAAAGTTATTGAACGTATTGTAAGATACAGATTTCAGGAAACAGGTGCAGTTTAACGAAGACATACAATAGTTCTGTCATACGGAAATGACTAGTGCAAAGGACTGTATGCCCAGTCAAGTTCTGTGAACGCTGACAGAGTGAATTCAGACTAGGTAAGGATGTGGATGTGCTCAGTTAGATGTAAGTGGATGATAAGCCAATTCTAAGGTTCTTTGGGTGCCATGCTGAGGAGAAAGGTCGCATTATAGCTGTTGCAACATGACCACTTCTACCTGAAGGGAGTCCTGTGTTTTCTGTTTGCTTGTCTCAGGAGCTACTCCTTTACTTAGATGACAGTCTCAGTGACCACTGGATACCAGCACCTGCATTAGTTACAGAATCCTGACTGAGGTTGGCGTAGTGGCATATGCACTGGAATTCACAGCCATAAAGTCCAGAGCAAGCAGTACACAGAAGACCAAGAAAGCTCTTAACAGGTGTTGCTTAGCTACATGGGACACCTCTTCAAATGGTCATAACAGGTGCAGGGAGAAGGGTAGGAAGTGGGAGGAAGGTTTATTCAAATAGTTCCCTCCCCACTTTCTGGAATAGAGTGCTTCTAGGAGGGAAATTTAGGGGTCAATAGGCTCTCACTCTTTTGTGCTCAGTGAACTTCCTGAGCGAGATTTATCTAAGGGTTTTTTCAAGATGACATTGTAGATCACCAAAGTTTGCCTTTAAGACGTATGGGAGCTGGCCTTTGGGATCTGGACCAAACATAACGGTAGATCTCTTTGAGAAGACCCCAGATCGGTTCACAGCTATAGAGAGTAATGCCCCAACCCTCCTTCTGATGGCTTTACGGCCACTATTTCCTCCTTAGCTCAGTCACAGGAAGGCAGTTATATCCAGTGCTGAGATGTGATTGAAACTACTGGCTACAAAGATGCAGAAGTTCAGTAATGTGCCTGGCCCTTGTCACATCCAAAAATCCAGAATTGTCAAACTTAAAATTGGACACCTAACTCCCAGAGTGCTGAGCACCTGCAGGTCCTGTTGCCTTCATATGTTACCACTGGATATTAAGACCTGGTGCTTCTGACACTATTTAACAGTTTGGCAGTCTGAATAGAAACAAAGTGAGTTCCATAATCAACTGGAGGCATCTGTCACCTTAAATAGGAATTATTTTAGGCCCTTCCTCAAAGATTTTTAGGGACTAATTTGAATAGTGCAGTAACATCAAGACATTCCACCCAGCCACTCTTCAGTGAAACCACATGTATGCCTTTCAGCATATAATAACCTGAATTTGAAATTCTCCTTGCTTGCTTTTTAAAGGATAGCTATGTATTTCTGATGATCCATAAGCATGGCCACCCCATAGCATCCCATGTGAAACACAATTTCATGTGAAATAGATGAATCAAAATGTTTTCTAGTGTCATTACTTACATATTTCAGCCAGGTTCGGTGAAATTACTTGTTTTCCATCTATGTATATGACTGCTTAGGTGTGTTGCTAGGCTATGAATTTCCATACACAGTTATCAAGCAAAAAAATTCTGATATTTACCTAGTCTTCCCACTTTGATATTAAAATAATTGTTGATCTCTTTCCAAAGAGAATCTTAGAGCTCAGCAGTTTTCTTATCAGATCAAGACTATAAACAATGTTAGGTAAAGTGTATGGGTAACTATGCTGGTGTTTATTAAGTATGCAAAGAGTATAACCCTCTTTTACTGGCTTTTGTTATGGACACACAGCTTTTCCATTGCCTCAATCCTGTATTTAATTTTGGGTCATAGAGTTCACCACATAGGTTTCAGTATAAATCATAAAAACAAAACTATTAAACAGTAATTCTATAGAATGTTTTCAATCAGAAAAAGGTGGTTGAAAAGAGATGTTGGCAGTCATTTAAAGGAAGTGTCACATGCACACCCTCTTAAGAGACAGTTGTACAGTGTTATCAGAATCCTTAATAGTTTGTGGTACTTTAATCAGGGTGACTTGTTTTACTCAGAAGATAGTTCTGTGAAACGGTTCTAATTTTCAGTCATATCTTCAGTTTTTGTGGTGGTCTTTGCAGTATTTTCCCCCCTACAGATCCTAATTATTTGCTGTCAAAAACATGAACACTCAATATGGTTTATCTATGCGTTATCTTAACATTGGAACTACAGTTTTAGTTCATCTTTCATGTGAAACCGGTTATTCTGACATAATGTTTCTCCAAAATGTTCAATTTTATAGGATCTAATTTTTAGTTCTCCTAGAAATCTTTATCAGTTATCATGAACCCACATGCAAAGAGCATGTAGAGTTCTAATAGCACTATAAGAGGCAAACTTTAATTTTGTAATCTTTTTACTCGGTGTTCACTTAGCACAAGTGTAAATGAGGATACAAAACATCACATAGTGGTGAATCAGGCCCATTTATTCTAATGTTATGTGGATGTAGCTTCACTGACTTATGGGAGTTACTCTGGATTTATACCAGTGTGAATATCAGAAGCTGGCACTTACTGTGTAAACTGCTTGAGGTACAAATCAAGTCTCATTCTCATCTCAGAATGGTGTAAATCAGGAGTAAATCCATTGAAGTCAAAGTTGCAGTACTGAGTGAAATCTTTGTCTCTGTCTCTGAAACACCAAGGCCCAGATTTTCAAAGGTATTTACATGAACCTTTTCCAATTCTAATATCTTTTTTGAGATGGAGTAGCCGCATCTGCATGCAGTATTCAAGATGTGGGCATATGATGGTTTTATATAGAGGCAATATGATCTTTTCTGTCTCATTATCTATCCCTTTCTTAATGATTCCCGACATTCTGTTTGCTTTTTTTGACTGCCACTGCACTCTGCGTCGATGTTTTCAGAGAATTATCCACAATGACTTCCAAGATCTTTCTTGAGTGGTAACAGTTAATTTAGACCCCATCATTTTATATGTATAGTTGGGATTGTTTTCCAATGTGCATTACTTTTGCATTTGTCAACATTGAATTTCATCTGTCATTTTGTTACCCAGTTTTGAGAGATCCTTTTGTAGCTCTTCACAGTCTGCCTGGGACATACAAAACACCTCAAGATAGTTATCTGCAAATTTTGCCACCTCACTGTTTGCCCCTTTTTCCAGATCATTTGTGAATATGTTGAATAGCACTGGTACCAAGTACAGACCCCTGAGGGACACCACTATTCAACTCTCTCCATTCTGAAAACTGGCCATTTATTCCTACCCTTTGTTTCCTTTATTTTAACCAGTTACCAGTCCATGAGGACCTTGCCTCTTATCCCATGACAGCTTACTTTGCTTAAGAGTCTTTGGTGATGAACCTTGTCAAAGGCTTTCTGAAAAGCCTTTTGTGCCTTTAAATACGTCTCCATCCCAATTCTTACCTGTGCCTGGTTTTTGCCCAAATCATGGGAGCTGTAACCCCTGAGGGAGCAAGCGACTGAGATGGATCATGTGCAAGGAGACTGATAGCAGGGCCTGGTGTGAAAGCAGTAACCTTAGAGGGAAGAGACTGGGGGTGAGGGAAGACCTGAGGTCTGACTTGGCTCTGTAGGGTGATCTGGGGAAAAGACTACTGTAAAGTGATTAGGGAGAAGGCCTCAATATAGAGATTTTGGGGGGAGGGTGGCGGAATGTTATCCTGTGAAATGGGAAGACACACATTCTGGGAAGAAGGTGGTAGTCCTTGAGAGTTTAGTGTCCCAGAGCTGCAGTCTGTAGCAGAGGGAAGGACTTATAATGCATTTTGAGGGTTGGTGTGGAACCCCTGTAACTCAGAGGAGAAGGGCTTATGATGCTAGCACTGAGGAATAAAAGAACAAGGATCTAACTAACCTGGGAAAGGCCAAGCAACTGTTTAGCGTGGTGAAAGCAACTGGTGAAGCCACAGAGATAAAGTTCCATGGCCTAAGGAGGGTCAAGGATGTATTTTGCTTTTGGGACTCTTATTACCCTGAAAATGGGGGGTGGGGGACATTGTTGTAACAGAAGAGCTAAAGTATTAAAATTACCCAGCCACCAAGAGAAGGAACTGTGAGTGGATGCATCCTGATGCTGTATCAGGTAAGCCACTTCTACTGCTTTTAGTATGTGATGGTGCTCTATGGATTACATGGTAGATAAATATTTGGCTCAGATTCATATCTCAATTAAACTGCTGAAAATTTGGATTTACTTCCATTACTTCAGTATTCAGAGTAGCAGCCGTGTTAGTCTGTATTCGCAAAAGGAAAAGGAGTACTTGTATTCGATGAAGTGACCTGTAGCTCACGAAAGCTTATGCTCAAATAAATTTGTTAGTCTCTAAGGTGCCACAGGTACTCCTTTTCTTATTACTTCAGTAATTTCTCCTGATTTACATCATTGTAAATGAAATCCAAATCAGATCCTTTATCTTAGTTTATTGAACGTGAACAATACTTAGTTTAACCATGAAAAAGCAATACTATTTTCTCAAGATAGATAGAAGCTTTAGTCCCTAGAAGGTTGACAAACACTGTATGTGAACTGCCTAGATAAAATGGAATGGTACAAATCCCATTAAAACTGTGTTTGCAAAGATGTTAGTGGAGCTCTCATACTGGTCATTAACAAGGGCTGAAAATAATATCTTTCTTGGATTGGTTGACTTAGCATCAAAATCTGTAATAAAGGCGAGCTAAATGATTATAGAATGTTTGGCAAGAGGCTAAATTGACTAATTATTGGATTTTTTTTTAGGTGAACCAGTTCACTCTGTGAAGGTGAAGTATAGGCATACAGAAGTGAAGATGACTATATATAAAATGATTTCTAATCCATAACAAGATATGAATCTCGTATAAATGATTTGATGAGTGCAAACTGTTCAGTAAAGGAGGCCACAATGAACATCACAAATAATCAACTCTAGCAAATTGCTAATAGTCCTTCAGCCAACCTGGGAGCACACCTGCACTTGTCCCCTGTGCTGTTATAAATGAATACTCCCCATTTCCTTCTAGTCTCTACCATATTAAGAAACTGCCACATGTGGTTATTGCGGGTATACATGCACTGAAGCAAACAGCCAGATACTGCTTCTAATTCCCCCTGCAAATATTAAAGATGCCTTCACCTGATGTCACAGATGTATGTTAGCTAGAGCATGGGAAGGAGCTGAACCCAGTCTTATCTCTTGCCCCTACGGCTCTTGTAATTAAGCCCCCTGGTATCTAGACCAAAGCCCATCTGTGACCCATGATTGGTGCCAGCTACATCAACCAGAGTGAAAACCAGGCCCCTCTGAGGTTGGGCACACACAGGATCAGAGGTGTAGCTTGGGCAAGTTCCGGCAGGTGAGGAAGTGGTGAAAGAAGGGATACAAATTCTGCCTCCCTCAGGGATCTTTCCTGCCACCCTGGTTAAAGTACAGGTGCAGAATTGGGTATCTCATGCAGAGGGAAAAGGAAGGTTTTCACACAGGTTTCATTCAGGCACATACGTCTTCATCCATCACTTTCTTACCTCACATGACCAGACTGCAGTCCAGACTCCAGTATTACAAAATACTGGTTTATGTAAGAACCAAACAGGTGTGCTCCTAATTTCTGGGGACAGATAGCAGGAACCATCCTTTTGTTCTGTGTTTGTACAGCATCTAGCACAATGGAATCCTGGTCCATGACTAGGGCTCCTAAGCACGAGAGTAATACAAATAATACATCATAATACTCTCAGCTGTTCTATTCCTAGCTTAATGCATGCTGCTGGATAGCTATGCAGATCTGAAAGCAATGATTTAGGCAATGAGAGTCCTAGGAAGAGAGGTGCTGTGGCTGATTAATTTACTGGGCCAGAGGAAGCATAGCACTTTGGAGCTCAATAAAAATGTGGTTTTTTTTCCTGTATAAAAAGAAAACAAGGTTCAGTTAACTATGACATGACTGGGAGCATCCTGCAGCCACATTTCTTATTCTGAAGGTGATTCAAAATACTGTGAATTTGGAGTGTTCGAAAGTGTGTGGGCCAGAGTCAGGAAAGCTGTAAACAAAACCAGCTGCCAGGGTTATGCAGTACACATGCTGACAATGTTTGCTTGAGGCATGGGGCAAAAGGGTTTCTGTAAATGATACCATGTCACATCTGCGACACATGTATCAGACATATGGCCTATTCCTTGTCTCAGGCCAAAATACCATATGTTTTCATGGAGATTTCAAAATGCTTTTATATCTTAACTGCACTGGAGGGGATATTTGTTTAATTTCCTTCTCTGAGTTGTTTCCCTATAAATAAGGTCATTTTCTGTAATCTCACTGTGCAAAAACATTAAATGAGGACAATTTGGCTTCTGTTCATTGATTTTATAGTTCCTTCTAAGAGGTCACCCTGCATTTATACATATATATATATTATAGTGCAGGTGATACATAATGCTGTTTCCTTGCTTGCATCTATATATAACCATGAATATTCATATGCTAGTTCTGATTTAGTAAGGGGATAAATCACAATGCAATTATACATACCCATCAGATGTGGTGTGCTGGTGATAGTTGTGATAGGTATTTATCACCTGATTCCACTATTTATCCTGTTCTTTTAATCACTGTTCCTGCACTCTGGCTACCAACTCTTCTCCCCTAGCAATGATTTTACCAATCAGACCTTCTGAGCAGGTACCCCAGAAATGCTTTCTCTTCCCCTCCAATTGTGGAATTCCCCACAACTTCAGAGGTTCTCTTTCCCCCTGCCACCTGTAGGAATCTTCAGTCCTGAGTTAGCCACCTAGGCTCCTCATATAACATGTGGAGAGAGCGAGAAAGGGATCCCCAGATGTCAGCAAGCCAAGTGTGGAGCTGCCAAAGCTAGCCAGGAACTAAATGCCAAGGAGAGGGGAATTGGAGCCTACGCAGCTAACCTGGCTGAGCCGTCTGCTCAGGATCCTTAGCTGCAAATGCTCTCCTACAGTTAGGCATCTAAGCTAGGTCAGACACTTTAGGTAGCACATGCCCTAGCAGTTGAAACAGTCTTATCTCCTGATCACACTCAATACCTTTCTCATATTTGCCCTACATTTCCCTGTGCCTACTGTGTGAGTGCTGGTCTGCCCCCTGTGACGGGTTGGACCCCCTGGGATGTCACCTGGTTTGCTGGGATGCCCCTGAGGCAGACTATTCTGCCAGCCTGAGCCCCCTTTTACCTGGTCTTGCTGGACTAGGCTCCCCTGCCTTTTCCAGCTAAGCACACAGGCAGGGCCACACCCAGTTTCACAGAGAGACAGAGATCCTCTCTGAGAAGGCTCACCTTAAGGGGCTTGCCACAGCACCCAGATGACCACCTCCCACCCCCTCCCACACACACACACACGGAGTATAAACCCAAAATTATATGAAATTCATCTCCTCCCTCAATGTGGAGGAGGGTATGCACAACTTCTCTTCCTGCCCCCACCCCCATTAGAAATCGCATAAACTGGGTTATATTGTAAACCAGAAATACATTTCTAAGCTATAACAGGTGTATTTTAAGTAGTTGAGGTAGCAGACAGAACAAGACTGATTACTAAGAAACTAGAGCACGCAAACTCAGCTTAATACACTAAAGAAACTGGTTACATGAAAGTTCTCACCCTAAATGTGGTTCTAATAATCTTCACAGGTCAGTCGCCCTTCCAACCTGGGTCCAGTTCTTTCCCCCAGTTCAGTCTTAGTTGTTTCCAGCAGTCATTTTGGGTGGGATAGCAGGGGAGAATTGATGACCTGGATTACCTCACTCCCCACCCTTAAACAGGATTTGCATGAGGTGGGAGTCCTTTGTTTCCTAGTTGCCCCTCCCCCCCAACTTCTCATGGAAAAGTACAGAATTCAAGATGGGTTCCAGTATCAGGTGACGTGGTCACATGCCTCTGTAGGGCCCCTGTAGCCATTCTTCACAGGCTGACCCACATGTTCACGGGGAGACTAGGCTCTTTTACAGTCCATTGTCTCTCGCTGATGGGCCATCAGCACTATTGGGCTTTTCATTGTTGTACCTGAAGGGTTAGCAGGGGGTGTCATGCAAAGTAACATATTTGAAACATAGTCAATATTCCTAATTTCAGATACAGAAATGATATATGCATACAAATAGGATAATCACATTCAGTAAATCATAGCCTTTCCAATGATATCTCACATGATCCTCTTGCATGAAGTATATCTCAGTTATGGCATATTCATATCATAAGCATGTTGTCATAAAGAATATGGAATGACATGTCAGACCCCTCACTGGTGGCCTGCACCCAGGCCTTTGGGTGTGGGGTCTGACAGGTCTCTGTGCTCCGAGCACACCTACAGGATGGGGCCTGTGGGTGAGATAAGTGTTACCCATCCTTGTTTGAAAAGCCTGCTTTGGGGCCTCCATGATTTCCACTTGAACTAGGGCTCTGTGCTGCACATCAGCTGTGGGGTGGGATTAGGGGCATGTGGGGCATTAGGACTTTCGTGGCTTTGTGAATGGTGATCAGCAGAAACCTAGGTGCCTGGAGTCCTATTCGGTTAGGTGGCAGCAAAAATGTCAATGGTGAATGGTGAATTCAAGAGTCCTAGCGTGCGGTGGTGCGGCCTAGCTGATAGATCACTGGACTGGGCCTCAGGAGACCTAAGTTCTAGTCCTGGCTCTACCACTGGCCTGCTGGGTGGCCTTGAGCAAGTCTCTTCCCCTTGTTGTGCCTCAGTTTCCCCATCAGTAAAATGGTGATGATATCGATCTCCTTTGTAAAGCACTTTGAGATCTAGTGATGAGTTAGGGATTATTACTAGTGATTAGTCTCATTGCTAGATAACACTTTCCTGTTACTTGGCTAAAATTAGCCTGCTATACAAAGGTGAATTATTTTACACTGAAGCTTCTTTTTATCATTCCAGTCAGTGTTACATGCAAGATCTGAAACAACAATATGCTGTGCTGGGCACTTCTTCCTAGTGCTAGGCTGCTGCTGTCCTTGGTGTTTTTAGCTGGGATTTTGGTGCTGTGTCTCAATTTAGAAGCACTGTGTTTAATGTTCATTGGTTGCCATAGTTCCAAGAGTTTCTCACAGTCGATAGAAGAGAGATTTCTGAGAAAGCCATTTAACTGATAACCTTAGTCTGGTGTTCGGCACATAGCACTCACTGAGCATATTTTGTGATTCTCTGTAGTAACTGAGATACATTTCCCTCTTTGGAACAAATCCTGGTCTCTCTATTATTAGCACTGTGTGTTTAACAATAGCAGTTATACATGGGGGATCATTTCCTGTATGGGTCAGGAGACTCTTCTAGTTTGCACTTATTCTAGACACCTGTCAGGGGTTATAATTTATCTTTGCTTTATTTGATAAAGACCTTTCTTATCTTTCTGCGTCAAAGACACATACAGGAACTGATTGAACAAGCAAACATCCCCAATCACTTTCTCTTCCCACCCATTGAGTTTATTCTGCCAGTAGCCTCCTGCTGCCAGCAGCTGAGGACTTCGGTTTTTTTTTTCATCTCCCAGCACATCTCTGCCGGCAAAGAGAAAAATCTGAAAGATCTGGAAACTGCAGCAGACTGATGGCGGCTTGAAGAACAGAGTATGGCCATTCCAAGAGAACAACCTGTCTCTTGAAGAATCAGCCAAGAGTTAAAGGCACCAGGTCTTACTTTTTTTCTGCTGAAACCCCAGAAAGCATTGGGTCCTGCTCTTTTAGTCCAGACTTCAGCTGCACATTTCCTTCCAGCTTGGCTTTCTCTGTGATGGAGTCAATATAGACTGTGGAGTCAGTTACGCCTCTTGGAGCCAATGTGTCTCCCATCCTCACCTCCTAAGGAAGATGAGCCACATCTTTTATGCAGTGTTACATTCTCTCCTGGGCTTCTTCATCCCCTCAGCCAACCTGCTGGTAATTGTGATTGTCTACAGACTAATGAAGAAGCAGCAGGGAAGAAGCTACATCTTCATCCTCAACCTGGCTGCTGCAGACCTGCTAGTGGGAGTGATGTGCATTGCAGAAGCACTTGATGATATTCTGGATGGAGACTTTGACAAGAATTTATCCTTTTGTCTCTTGCGGACCTGCATGAGCATGACACCTTGCATTGGCTCCATTCTCACCTTGCTTTTGATTTCCCTGGATAGATACTTGGCAGTGAAGCGCCCCCTTTATTATCCTACCCTCTTGAACAAAAAACCTGTGGTCTTCTCTCTCACCATCCTGTGGGCCGTCTCCATCTTGTTTGGGTACATGCCTTTGATTTCTTCCTCCCTGCAGCAAAGCAACTACACAGGTTACTGTGGGCTCCTGTATGCAGCCAAGAGTGACTACCTATATGTGACCTGCTTTGGGATCTTCATCCCTTCCTTGTTGGTCATGATCTGCCTGCACATCTCAATGGGGAGAATTGCCTACTCGCAGCACAAGCGAATCAGGCGCATCTGCCTGCAAGCAGAACCCTTCACTGCTCACCTCCGCCACTTCAAGGCACTGCGGACAGTACTTATAATGATTGTCAGCTTCACCACCTGCTGGGGACCTTATTACCTGGCAGGCTTTGTGCAAGCTACTTGTGACTCCTGCAACCTGGCTGACCCGATTACAGATGTCTTATTCCTGCTGGGAGAAATCAACTCCCTCATCAACCCCCTCATCTATGCTCTGTACTGCAAAGATATAAGAAGCCAGCTGCCCAAACTGATGCAGTTCAAGAAGAAAGGCCAAGTAAAGCCTCTGGCTGTGGTTCACTTTAATATCCAAGCCCTTGATGGTTTATCCAATGGAGAGGCTAAAAGACCCAATTCATCTGGGGTTCAAGTCCCCAGTACTACTTTCTTCAACAGTTCTAGCCCCTGCAAAATAGTCTTCTCAGTGTCATGATCCAAAGCAGAAGAGAAGCTCTGCATGAACCACCAGTGAAGTGGAATGTGAGACTGACAGTTTTCTAGCGTAACAACCAACCAACAACTTGGACCTGGAGCACATTGACTGGTATCCAGATTTACTACTTTCCCTTTTGTCCTTCTCTGTGTAAAAGGTAGCTGAGCTGGCTGGGAAAAAAAATCAAAACTTTGACACAAAATGGTGGGGGTATTGTTTTTTAAAAATAGCCTGTAACAGTTCTGTTTGGACAATTAAACTCTGTAATACTTTACTACCAGTTTTATAAACCTGAACATACCCTGAGCTGCTGTGCACTCTTGCTCAGACCTGGGTAAATCAGGAGTAACTTCTTTTGAAGTTATGTATTCATCAAGGGCAGTTACGCACAGGATCATTTCCTGTGTGGGCCAAAGAGACTCTATTTGCACTTGTTTAGAAACCCAGCGGCAGCAGGTTATTACTTTATCTTTACTTTGTTTGGTGGAGTCCTTTCGTATCTTTCTGTGCCAGCCACATTCTGTGAATGAGTGAACCCGTCATCCTACCCAGCTGCTGTCACCAAGTGAAAGCCAGATCAGTCAGGCTCTGTATTTCCTCTGTATCAAAATATATTGTGCATTAGCTAAACACCACAATTCTGCTTTACCATATGTAAATATATATTCCTGAGCTTTTAAAATATAGCGGTGGTCAGAAGGCAGTGGCCCAAAGTTGCGGCCACCTATCAAGTGACTGGCTGATGGTTTATGTGACTTCAGCTTGAGCCAAGTAGTGCTCAGTGGATTGGTGTCCATATCACACAGGCCACCAGAATGAATACCATTTGGCAATCTTTGTTGATCATCTCAGCAGTGGGAGCAAGAATCAGGTGGATATGGAGTTTGAACCATCCGTATAAGAAATCCCTTCTAGTTAAGGGTAGGAATGCACTTGAAGGACAAAATAGGAAAGCCTGCAGTGTTGCTAGCGGTGTGCAGAGAATGTGGTTAAGGCACTGGACTGGAACTTAAGGGAGCTGGATTCAGTTCCTTGCTCTTTCATTGACATTTTGTGTACAAGAGACCTTGGTCAAGTCACTTAATCTCTCTGTGCCTCATTCCCCAGCTGTAAAATGGGGATATTAATGCTTCCCTTCTGCATGCTGCTGATAGGGGAGTGAAGATAAGTCCACAAAATCCTTGTGTGGATTCAGCCACTACAGTGAGGAGGGAACAAAACAAACAAGACCTCTAGCCCCGGCCAACTTTTCTCTTTTTAACACAAGGTGAGTGTAATTCCTACTCAATACAGCACACTTATGTGCGCCTCTCTACTAATACTGATGTTAACTAGTCACAACCTTAAACATACACTGTATTGTTTGCACACCTCCTTCTAGTTGTGACTTAGCATTAAATATACTATTCTAATATAGGTGACACACACACTGGAATTTTACATTTCTGAAAATGAACAGATTAAAAACATTATTTTTATAGTTTGGGGGCAGTTGTTCTTTTTTTAAATACAGATCAAATGGTTCTACTCTCAACCACTATTAGAAATGAGCCAAGGCAGCATCTCTGACTCATGCCCCAATAGTGCATGCTTTGACTCAGTTAACATAAATCAGTGCATCCCGAAGGGCACCATTTCGTAACCACTTACCACTCGGTATAATGCATGAATAATCCCACTTATACTAATGGGACTACTAAAGGTAGAAAGCACTGTCTTTGGTGGACGGTGGGTTACTGGCCTCCTGGATAGGTGTTGAAGTAAGAGAAGGAAAAAAGCTACTTTTTTTGAATGTGTATCAACAATGCAATTCTTCAGTACACACACAGCTGCAAATATTTCTCAGAATAATGAAACTAATATTGTCTTTATGCAACACACACACTGCTAGAGACTTCAGACAGGTGCATTTATTATAGCTCTTATTGAACAGTCAACATCATCACTTACGTCAGAATTCTTACAAAGGTACATTAATTTTAAAGCCTGTGTTGCAAGGTAGGAAGGGGGTTTGATTTTGTCCCACTGCTCAGTAGAAGGGAAGTTTAAACATCCATGTAGTCTATCAAACAGACGCTGAATCTTTATTTTGCATGCAAACAGCAGCAGGTCTTCTTCGCGTACATGTTTTGGTGGTGGACGTTCATCAGGCTGCCTTACCTTTGAAGGAAAAAAGGTGTGGGGGAAGAGTTATAAAATGTTTATATTTAGAACAGCAATCAACAGTTCCTCGAGGATCAAAACTCACAGGAGCAGAGAGAAACACGAGGAGCAAAACTTGCAAGCTACAGGTGCCCATAAGCAAAGCTACACCCAGCAATGGGAGCATAAGCCTGGTTCTCCCATCCAAACCTGTGAGGGGGAGGTGCTCTCTTTCTTGTAGTAGTAGGTTGCATGTCCGGTACTCCTGCTAATTAAAGATTTAATTTGCTGTTCTCATTGCTGGCTTGTGATATTAGAAACAATGTGAACCAGGTAAAATGCTCAGTGATTGAAATAAAATATTTGAAATAAATTAAGATGGAGATGCCCCTCTGCATGCATCTTTCCTGACTCCAACAAACAAGGTGCTCTGAAGAATTTAATCCATTCCCCATCTCTCTACAATCTAAATAGCTCCCAGTGCAGATTACTGGTGCTTCTGACAGGAATAATCTGTACAGAGGGGCTGCGTTTGGCTGCTGCAGATCAATATATTGACTATTTGGGGTGGGGGGGGGGGAGTTAGCAGGGGCTCTTAGGTTCAATTCTGGAAATAGGCACAAACTTGCAGACAGACTAATTTCTGCATAGAGGGACAGAATGATCTCTATTTTGAAACATATCACATGTCCCTTTGAGTTCAATCTCCTTCTCTGAAATTGTAAGTTTCATTTTATATAAAGATGTTTGCTGAAAGGTGTAAGGATATTTGTAAAGAGCAGGGCCAACAGGGTCCAGATCAATTACTTCCTGAGAAGAAGAAGAAATCTAAAAAATGTGAGAGACTGTAAAGTGGTCCTAAGAGAGAACATTGCAGAGCAACACAGATTGCTTGTAATGGATTCCTGTGTGAAAAGGCGAGTGCGGAACAGAAGCTGAGTTGTTGCGGTTTGTGGACAGGGAAGATAGTTTGACACTTAAGGATGAGGTTCTACGGAGGTTCGACAACGAACAAATTGACCATGATGATACCAGTGAGGTGTGGGGGAAATGGCCAAACATATTACAGAAAATGCCCAAGCTGCCTGTTTAAGGGCAAGGCGACGTGCGGGTGATCCAATGGGGATGGGGGTGTGTGTGTGTATGCTAAAGTACCTGCACTTTTGTTCCCACGTTGAATTTGGCTTGTTCCCCCTTGGCAAGAAAAGAAACCGCAATCTTGTCTTGTCCAACTATCCTGACACCAACATATTGGTTCAAGGATATAAATATGGGTTTAAATGAAACGCGGGGTACAGAGTCCATCAAACTGCTTGGCCAGGTCCACATTCGCACCCTGTTGCCTGCTTGGTCTGAATAATGTCCTCCCTGAATATTTATGTTTATCCTAAACAAGAAGGAAATAAATTAGTGCTTTACATAACAGATCATGCCTTGCTGTTACTAATACAATGTAGACCCACTCCTGCAAACTTTTACTGTCCTGCAATCAAGGGACTACTCATGAGTAATGGTCTGGAGGTACAGGCCCTTACTAAACCTAGTCCACAGTCAGTGGGAGTCTTTCTCCTGCTGAGGTAGGTCATAAAACAGAGCCCTAAGGGCTTGACTTCACACAGTGTTGAAAGCACTCAGCACCTCTAAGCCCTGGTCTACACTAGGACTTTAGGTCAAATTTAGCAGCATTAAATCGATGTAATCCTGCACCCGTCCACACGATGAAGCCCTTTTTTTCGACTTAAAGGGCTCTGAAAATCGATTTCCTTACTCCACCCCTGACAAGTGGATTAGCGCTTAAATCGGCCTTGCCGGGTCAAATTTGGGGTACTGTGGACACAATTTGATGGTATTGGCCTCCAGGAGCTATCCCAGAGTGCTCTATTGTGACCACTCTGGACAGCACTCTCAACTCAAATGCACTGGCCAGGTAGACAGGAAAAGAACCGCGAACTTTTGAATCTCATTTCCGGAGACTGCGGGAACTGTGGGATAGCTACCCACAGTGCAACACTCCAGAAGTCGACGCTTGCCTCGGTACTGTGGAAGCACTCCGCCGAGTTAATGCACTTAATGCACTTAGAGCATTTTCTGTGGGGACACACACACTTGAATATATAAAACCGATTTCTAAAAAACTGACTTCTATAAATTCGACCTTATTCCATAGTGTAGACATACCCTAAGAGATGCTCAACTCCTATTCAAGTCAAAAGTTGCTCACGGGGGTTTTGGTCCCTTGCAGAGTTGAAACCCAAATACCCAGAAGTAGAAAAAGGAGAGGCTTTCACCCCACTGTTTTCTCTTCTCTTTAATTCACTGCACAGTTTCCAGGGCTTTACAGTTACTGACTTTGCTGTATGGTATTTTAGGCAAATTTATTGCTTGTGTGGGTGGGGAGTAAAAAGTGGAATTGGTGTTAACAGTTTCCCCCACACATCATCCCCCTCCAAGGCTTCTCAGCTCCCAGGGAAGAGTCCCCAGTGCACAAAATGCAGCTCTGCAAATACTGTACATTTCAGGGGTTGTTACACGTCTAGTTCAGAGGGATTTACAGTTTTCATCTTAAGTCTTCACCTGTGATTTAGGTTGGCTTTGTATGTTTTACAACAATGGGCCCTGATCCTGCAAACATTTCATATGTGCTTAACTTTAAGCATAAGAGTGGTTCCATTCACCTCAATGGGCTTGCTTATGCACAACATTACTGGGCTGCATGATCATGGCCTCGGAACATAAATAAAACTTCAAGTTGGAAAGTACCCAACCCAATTACCGAGCTGCAAGATCGTGGCCTTAGAACATAAATAAAACTTCAAGTTGGAAAGCACCCAACCTATGCTATAGCTTGGCATTTGAATTTATTTAAAAGGTGCTATTAAAATGCTCATTTTTAAACAAAGGGGGAAAATAACCCTGCTGAGCTACAGCTGTGTCAGCACATGCTAACCAGACAGATGTGATTTACATGGACATACCATACAGTTCCGTTTGGATGATAGCAAGTACCTTTGCCACTGGACTCAAACACTGCTTGGATGTCTGCATTTTTTGGTTTGTCTTCCTGTACTATACAAATATAACCTCTCCGCTTTTGCACAATGATAATGGCCAGATTGCCAGATGGATAGCTGTGCTCAGATAAGGTGTTCAAAGCCTCATTGTTTGGCTAGTAGAACTGCCCTTTTATCAAGCATTCAATAGTTTTGATAAGTGTTTTATAATACAAAAGTTATCACATCAGCTAGAATATTGTTTAAAGCTTGTGAGACTGAGCTGCCAACATTTTAACCAAAGGGCTCTGTCTCAGGCTGGCCTTTTAAGGTAAGCTGGGCTCAGCCTTGCCTGGGCCCTGGCAGCTATCCCCCAGCTGAGTATGATGATGACTTAGTTATAACGACTGACCCCAGCTGTAAGGGGGTGAGAGACAACTGCTTACACAGAACTGTCAACTCAACAGAGGGAGACCTAGGAGAGGTGTTTTCTTTCGGGGAAGGCCCTGGGGGAGTTAGGTTGCAAGAGATCCCCAAGGAAAAGGTAAGGCTCCTGTGGGGGCAGTCCTGAGACAGGGCCTGTTGAAGCAGGGCTGTCCTTGGGGGAAGCTACCACACTTCCTAGGGAAGGGAAGGAGTGGAGGGAAAACTTACTGGGCGGAAGCCAGCCTGGGAGATGCTTTTCAGGACCTGGGCTTAGTGGCCAAGAAGAGAGAACTCCAGTGCAACCCAACTGGGCAAAATAATTATTAGTTTCAATATTTATGTGGAATTATAGTTGGGAGAGGACTGAACTTTTAAGTGGCTTTTAACCTGGGGATACCACCAGGTTAGGACGAAGACTCTGACAGAGAGAGGCCATTTTTGGGCCAAGGAAATGGCCACCAGGGGGTGTTAGAGGCCAAGTCCCTTGCAACAATGTGTCTTGATGTCAGAGGATGAATGGTGGTAAGAGCAATTGCTTACAGGTTTCCAGAAAAATGTCTCGTTGTAGCCTGTGAGGAGCCCTGTGTACAGGTGGTCTGTATGCAACCAGCAATGAGTGGTGAGGGATGGAGGACTCTATGAACGTGTTCCCTCATTTAAACAGAAATGATTCCTTACAACAGTAACCAAAGAGGCAGGTAATGCCATTTAACAAATATACACTAAAAACACATACATGGGCACCGACTCCGGGACTGGAGCACCCATGGGAATAAAATAGTGGGTGCTCAGCACCCACCTGCCACAGCTGTTCAGCAGCACCCCAATCAGATAGGCTGGGGGCACCGCCAAACAGCTGACTGGCTGCTGAGGCAGGGGTTTGGGGGAGGGTGGAGAGCAGCGAGTGGCAGGTGGGCAGGGCCTCGGGGAGGGGGTGGAGCAGGGGTGGGAAGAGGCAGAGCGAGGGCAAGGTCCCGGGGGATGGGGCAGGGCAGAGAGGGGCTGGAGCACCTCCAGAGGAAAATAAAAGTCAGTGCTTATGGACACATCTGGAAAAATGTTCTGGGTATACTGAATCAACTTGTGTAATTGTAATGGAAGCAGTGAAACCCTGTAAGGAAATCTGGGTCAGGACGTATCCTCCCCATAGAAATGATCATGCAAATAAAAAACCAACCCCCCCCCCCCCAAAAAAAAAAACAACAACAACAACCCCAAACACTTGGTGCAATCTGAAAACACTTGC